AACTTCCTTTTCATAAGGCTGAATTGCCCACACTGAAGCTGACAGGTGACGGTGGGAACAAAGGCTGCCAAATGGGGCATGACGCTCCCACCTGGAAAAATATCATGACTGAGAAGTTAGCATGCACTCAAGTTCAGACCACATGGAAGGCGTGATCAAAAGAAGCCATAATAAAAGCTGCACAAACAGCTCTTCGCTTTAAGCACAGAAGTGGCATGGGAGTGGCTGGATAAAAGCCCCCTGCCATTGCCGCTCCTGTTCGTCACAGCGGCCTGCTTGCTCGCCAGTCTTGTGCTCTGGCCAGGGCAAGTGGTGGTGGTGAGAAGCGGCATCAGTGGAGGCCCTGGCCCGCTTGCTCCCAGCCTGTCAAGCAAGCAAGTGGCAGCCAGGATGGGAAAGAGAGGAGGCGCAACAGCAACTGGTAACCAGGCTGCCTTGTCCAAGAGCTCAGGGAACCCTGAAGCCAGCCCTGGCATGTTGGCTTATTGAGCGACCCGGCCAGCCCTGCGTCATTCCGGTATGATGCACGTGACTCAGCCAGTGCACTGGTTGAGGAGGGGAAGCGTTTGTGTAGAACTTGCCATTGGAAGTTGGGTCCTACTAGGTAGGAATGATGGGACTTGCCATCTGAACGACACTAGACTGGGGAAGACTGCCTTAGCAAATGAAGCTGCTTTGTTAGAACTTGCACAAAACAGGCCAAAGAAGATTGAACAACCCCCCCCCCAGCAATATATATTAAGAAAATGGCTTGCAAGGCCGTCTACATATTATTACACGTATAAGGCAGAATGCCTTGGAACTGTGCGGTACACTAGAACAAAGCTCTTATAGTTTAACTCATCCTCTAACAACTTTCTCATAGGTTCCCTCCCTTCCTGAGGCTGCTTAAAAATAAGTCCCATTAAGTTCCATGGGACTTAGTCCTGGATGTGACTATAAGATTTCAGTCCTAGTTCTTCATATGTCCTCGCCTAAAAACATCATTTAGTGCACAATCCTATGCATGTTTAAGCAGAAGAAACCTTCTAACTTCCAGCTCTCAGTTATACATCCAAATTCTGGCCAGCTTCCTGATGTCAGCAGTAGGTTAGATGTTTTAATTAAACTTCCACAATTCTCAGTACTGCCAGACCTCAATCAGGAATTCTCAAATGCCCGCCTTTGCCAAATCTTTCTGTGTTTGGCACAGATCTACTGGTACACTTCCTGAAAAAAGTGTTTCCCAAATGGATGTTCCTGCAAGTCCTAAACCCTTAAAACCAATCGACAGTCTAGTGGTGGGTGTCACATTTATCCAACACAATATGGCAGTGATGAAAAGGTGCTGCCTTTCTTTCTCTACCAGAGTCCTGTGTGTGCAGAGTGTGGTGCAGCGAAGGATCAGATTAAAACTAGGACTCCCAGGTCCAAATGCCAGCTCAGCTCTGAAGCTCATTGAGCTCCAGTCGCTCCCTCTCATTTAACCTAGGCTGCTTCACAGGGTTTTTGTGAGGATTAAAAAGTGGGGAGTGGATATCCACTGCCTTGAGTTCCTTGGAGGAAAGCTGGAGATGTATAAATATAATAACCCGATAGTCATTTGTGTACAAGAGGCAGCACCTTGAGGAATCACCTTGAGACTTGTCGAAGCACATGGTGCCTCCTTTGTTCTTACAAATGCAGGCTTAAAGAGAAAACTTGTCTGCATGTAGCTGTAGGGGAACTGCTCCTAGATAAGCGAGAACAAGAAGGAACCAGGCCAAGGATGAGTGTTTGAGCTGCATCTGGGAAGGGTCGTCCTTAGATAAGGTATGAATGGAGGGAGGAAAATTCCCAGATGTGTATATTATTGTACTATAAATGACATAAAGATGACAAGAAATGAAGTTCTAAGGACAACTGAAACATTTAAGCTTGACACCCTTGTCATGGTCAGATCAGGAATTGAGCTTGAGAGTGGCCTTTCCCTCTGCAAGGGTGCGGACCCGATTGTATTGGTCCGCCCCCAGAGCCAGATGGATCCTGATGGATTCCTGCAAGCTCTGGAACTTCACAGAACCCTCTGTGAATGATATTAGGAGGGTGAGTACCCGGAGGAGGGCCTTCTCTGCGGTGGCGCCCTACCTACGGAATGCGCTCCCCAGAGAGGTCCGCCTGGCGCCATCGTTATTTGTTTTTCGGGGCCAGTCAAAGACCTTTTTATTTACAACTTATTTTAATTGCTAAGTTATTGAATTAATTAGGATTTTAAAATTAGCTGAGAATGCACCGGGGGTTTTTAAATGTTTTTTCTTTTAAATTATATTATTATTATTATTATTATTATTATTATTATTATTAATGTATGTTTTTATGTATTTTTTGTGAGCCGCCCTGAGGCTTTGTTGCAATGGGGGCAGCATAGAAATGTTTTAAATAAATAAATTTTTAATGAGCAAGTCACAGAGTCAGAGTAGCATAGACTGCAGAATTCCCAAGAAATTCAAATATGAGAGTAGGAATCATCAAAACAAAATGATGATCTTACCATTAAAACTGGCCTCCTTCCCAGAGGATATTTGTAATATCATATTTTTAAAAGTTGAGGGAAGCAAATAGGAAATTACGGGCTAATTAACTTAATGTCTCTTCTGGATAATTGGAAGAAAGTTTTATTGGAGCTAGAATTTTATTTATTTATTTATTGTATTTATATCCCACCTTTTTTCTTTCAAGGAACTCATTGCAACTTACACAATTCTCCTCTTCCTCTCAATCTCGTCCTCACAGCAGCAGCCCTGTGAAGTAGATTGGGCTGAGAGTCTGTGACTGTGAACTCCATGGCCGAGCGGGGACTAGAACCCAGGTCACCTGAGTCCCAGGCCCATGCCTTTAACCACTACACCACATACATTTTCTATTAAATGAAATACTATGATTAAATGTAAAAGACCCATTTCAGTTGGGTTTCAGGCCTGCCTTGTTTGGTCTCTTAAATGGCCTTTTCTAGGAAAAAGATGGGGGAGCATTCCCCACTGGTGGTCCCGTCCTAGACATCTCAGTGGCATTCAGTACCATCGACACTGAGCATCGCATTCTTCTGTGGAAACTGCCTGAAGTGGCAGCCGGGGAGGTTGCTTCCCCGAAGCTCCATTTCTGCTTGGATGGCCACTTCCAGAAGGTGGTGCTGGAGGCCCAGCTGTGGCCTCCCTCAGGGCTGGATTTCATCCTTCATTCTTTTTAACCTCCAGCTGGAACTGCAGGGAGAGGTTGTCTGGAGGGAAGAAACCTGTTTCATCAACAGGCAGATGGCACTCAGTGCTACCTCTCCTTTTCATCAAAGGCAGCTGAGATGGTGACTAGTCTAAATTGGCACTTGGACTAGGGCATAAGCTGGCTGAACCTCAATCCAATAAGCAACAACAGCTATAAAAAGAATAAATAATTGAGACTCAGTCCAATAATAAACTGAGCCTGGATGTTAGTAGGTGGTTCATTTGTCTGGGCAAGTGGCATTCAGCCAGCTCTAGATGGGGTTTCACTTCCTCAGAAGAAGCAGGTTCCTAGTCTGGGGGTGCTCCTCAAGCCAGTTCTAGGTGGCTTCTTTAGTTTTTTGTCAGCACTGGGTGCCATGCCAGCTATGACCCAACTTGCAGAGGGACAGATTGTTTTCCTCGCATGAGTAACCTCCCACCTTGTTTATTGATGGCAGGATCTGAAGCCTGGACACCCCATCCCCACCCCCAGTCAAGCGTATATGTATCAGCCTGCAAGTACCTGCAGGACCAGGACCAGATCTGTAGGTACGTGCAAGGCTTAGAGCCTGTACAATCATGCAGCACATCTGGGAGGCCTGGAGGGCTCTACAGAAGGCTTTCCTGCATTGCTCGGCATAGCCACAGTGGCATTGCTCTTTGTACGTGGCTGCACTGTGGTCCTGATCCTGCGTCTTGCTTTGCCTCCCACTGGCTCACTTGCTCTTGCCCCTGCCCTACCAGCTACCTGATCCTTGTCTTCGCTGACCTTACCTTGCCGGTCTCAGCCCTCTGCTTTTATTTGGACTTTGCCTCTGGCCTTGCTGATATCTGATCCTTGCCTGTTCCTGATTGTGCTGTTGCCTCTGGAGCAGCCAGGCCTTGTTAAGCATCTGATCCTCCCCTGCTTCTGACTCTGCCTTGGTCTCTGGCCATGCCTGACAGTCACTGACCTTTGCCTTTGCTCGTGGTCCTTCTGCATTCTGCTAAGACCGCCATCATCTCTGGTCCTGATTCTCTGACAATAGACATCTGCCACTTGCATCAAGGATCTGACAACTGTACTGTGTTATAGCTGAGGTTATCTTCAAAACTGAGCCAGAAATGTCCATGAATGTGCACTAGAGCAGCCAGGTTGCTCAGTAGGACTAGCTATTTCAAACTTATTTTTCTGGTGTGGCATCAACCACACGGGTTGCCTGTCATTTTCCAGGCCTGATTCAAAGTGGCTTTATAGGCCTAAATGGCTTGGGACTAGTCTACCTGGAGAAGTACCTTCTCTGTCATCTTCCTGCCTTTACTAAGATCATCTTCAGAGCTTCTTCTGGGGTGCTGCTGCTCACAGAGGTGCAGCAGCCCCCCACCCCCAAAGCTCACCGGTTTCTGGAATGCCCTTGGGGAGATCTGTCTGCATTCATCATATTTGTCGAGATGCCAGGACATCTTTAAGGTACCACTGAACCTTATTCTGTTGCCTCATTACTTTTACAGCTGACACTTCCATATTTTTACTTTTTAAATATTTTTAACATGTAACATTGTGTTGATACCTTTGCCACTGTATTATGATTGACTTACTGGTTATTTGGTTGCTTGGTCTTTATGACTGTAAATTGTCCCAAGGGCATTGGCCTGTTGCGAAGTACAGAAGTCTAATAAACAGGATTTGCTGAGGAAGAACAAATACAGCTTTTTCTGCAAGGGAAGTCTTGCTTCACCAAAACTTTAGTACCTTTGAGAGTCAGGGGCTTTCCAACAAGGATTTATTCCATCATGGCGACTTTACTTTTGATTTCTTAACTTCTGTGGCACCAATGTGAACACCCCTGATACAATTACACCCCTGAGCTTCTCTGGTTTACCTTTCTTCCCCATCCAAGTTTCTGGTGTTCTTTTTATTTAGAGAATTTAGAGAAGCACTGGAGCTGCTACATCATGTGAGTATGCAGGGAAATCAGTAAAGCTATGTGTGGGTAGCAAACACCTACCTCTGATCTAGGTCCCGAGTGATTCCCCCACCCCCAGCGCATCTGGTTAACTGGCACTCTGCCAGGCATCCTCCATTATTTGATCTAGGCTTAGCTCTCTCAAAAAAGCAACAAATCTTGACTCTCTCTCCTTGAATAAACCAACTGGTTCCCACCACCATCGGCTTGTGGATATACAAAGTAAGTTGTTAAGATGGTGGGCTTCACCACACATTGACCTCATAAATGGAGGCTATTGCAACAGTGGAGAGACCAGCCATCAGTCTCTGGAATGGATCTTGTTTTACTGAAAAGAGATTCTCATAAAAATTTATTCTCAAAAAATTCCTTCTGGCATTTTCCTACTGGAAGCTTGGTGTGTGTCCCCCACCACCCAATCCTTTTAGCAACAATCTCAGCATATGCTCTATGCGTTAATATCACTAGACTGATCTTTTGATTTTATTTCTATGTGTGGTTGAGGCTATTCATGTTTCACTCCTGTGTTTCTCCTTTTTCCGAAATAAACTCCAGCTTGTGTTTGGATAGTTCCCAGTGCTATTTCTTAAAAGGATTTTCTCATTAAACTCCCCACTATATGAAATACTGCATAGTTGTAAAGCTCCATTTTCTGTTTTCAGAGATGTAGAATTTTGGAAAGGTTAGGAAGGAAAACCCAAAACACCTTTTCCCCGTGAGGCCTGGGCTGAAGGGAGGAGACCCTGGCAATTTGGCTCGGCAGCAGTTCAAGCAGGGGGTGGAAGAGGATATGCCAAGAGGTGCATTCTGGTTGGTGGCAGCTAGCAGAGATTGTCTGACGAACCCACATAATGAAGGGGTGCAGTCTTAACGCTTTTGCAAGAGGAGCCATAGGCTGGTTGTGGCACATGTGCTTTCAGTAGATACAGTTCCAAGTTCAATTCCTGGAAATCTCCTATTAAATCAGGTAGCAGGACTGGGGATGGCCTCCAATAGAGCAGATGCTGCTGGCCAGATAAAGTTGTGATGCCCAGAGTCTGTTTATTTAAAACCAAGTATCCAGAACAGCTGCAGAATGACCTTAGAGAACACATGAACTCTGGCTGGATTACTCCGTTAGTTAATCCTGATGAGCTTCTGCTAGTAAGAGTGTTTCCTGTGGTTTGAAGAAAATAAAATTCTCCTGATGACCAAACACAACTAGGGACAGTTACTTAGGGTTCTATCAGAGAGACATAAGAGAAAACATAAAATAAACCTCTGCCAAGAACGCAGAATATGTAAAAGATATGCCTAGAACCGGTTGTTTTGACACCAGAAGAGTAGGTCAAGATAACCCTGGACAAAAGTATGAGAATGTTTCCTGCTATGATGCTTTTCTACATCTAATCACTGCAGAAAGCTGTGGCAGCTGGTCTTGACTGGAGCTGGGCTCACTCTATTGCTAGTGTACACCTGCAAAAAAGTCTTTTTTCATAAAATTACTTGCTGGTCTCTCTCATGATGAGACAATAAACAAGAGGGACCTCTTTTTTTTGTCCTCAGCAGGTTCTCTGGCAGTTGCAGGACAGCTGTGTAAACCATTGTGCAATTCCTTTCATGCTCGCACATCAAAGACTTGGACGTTGCTTCATTCAGTACAGTAGTTCTGATCGAGCTGTAGCCCCGTTCATGGCCTTTGGTGGTGCTGTGCTCTGTGTATCTCTACATCAAGACAGATCTAGCCAGTGCAATAAGCTGGGCTTCAGTAGGAGGCGCCTGCAAATCCACGTTTCCCATGTTGGCTGCACACAATGTGCCCCTTGCCCAGTGGGTGGGGAATAGAGTCACAGTTTCAGAACTTGCTCCCCACAAAACTGCCTTTGAAGATGCTATATATGGAATAGTCAGGTGCAAAATAGTCTTCTCTCTCAATGTGCCCAGCCTGCTTCCAAAGCTTCCCTCATGCTTGGGACTGGGTCTTTCCACTGTCACAACTAGCACTGAGGCGGGATGCCACATTTCCCCACAACATCAAGTGGAAGCTTCACTTTGAACCCAAGGTTGTGAGCCGGTTGCCTTTCTTCCAAAAGAGAAAAAAAATGCAGTGGTGGGACCAAAGAAATTAGTCATAAGCTGGCTAATAGGAGTTTGCGTTCACTGTACAATACTTGCCCGCAAAGGCACATTGTCCTCTGTGCAACATAAACATGATATATTCATAGCAGTCATACCAGTCCTCAAATATGACAGAAATTGCATCTCAGAGCAAACTTGCAGCTCAACTAATGGGAGCCCCCGTGGTGACCAGCTTGTAGTATGCCCCTTCCTGCACCATCAGTTCCTCATGCGTGCCCTTTTCAATGATTCTTCCTTGTGACATGACCGCGATGGTGTCAGAATTCTGGATGGTGGACAAGCGGTGGGCTATGATGATGCAGGTCCGGCCTTCTCTGGCTTTATCTAGCGCAGCTTGTACGGTCTAAAGTCAAGGGAGGAGACAAGAGTGAAGGACCACAAGCTGCTGCAGAGCACCGCTCAACAGATCCTGTTACCCATCTTTCAAGACGGCCATCATGGTTAATGGACAGAACTGATGTACGAGCAGCTCGTGGGGCAGCGGGTGTGTTTAAAGTGAATGCGTGCACGCGGCTAGGGTTGCGATGATCGTCCCCAGAATCTGTTTGCTGGCCTTCTTCTCAGGCTCAGCCCTTGCTCAGGAAGCAAGCCGAGCTGAGAGGAGGTCTGTCAGGCTGAGCAACGGCAGCCTCCTACTGCAGCACAAGCAACGCCATTAAGTCGCACGCGCGGACGAAGGACATGGCTTGCACAGTGGGCAACCACACAAATGCTGGGGCATCTGGACCCACAGCTGTGAGAAAGCAGGACAGTCCGGGGAGGCTGGCCCTGGGAATCTGCAGATGGATTCCTCACACTTCGCCACACAGTCCTCTTCAAGTGTATTTGTTTAGTTCTCTATGTGCATTCAGAAATCCTGACCTGATGCAGTGAGCTTATGGAGAGGGTAAGAACAGGGATGAGAAAAGAACAGTGTGTGACTCCTTGACTGTTTTTCTGGTGAGTACAGAAATGCTGAGTGGGGCAGACATGGAGAGGCAGAGATCTAGGAATGGAAACGCTTCCATGGGGGGTGATCTACAATGCGGGACACAAACCCCTCTTTAAGCCAGTTCATAACTGGGGCTGGCCTGAACGACCATACAGGGCTCCATCACACCCCAGTACCTAGGAGTGCAAAGAGCTTTCCGATCCCTTGTGGCTGTGTGATCCTCAAGTCCTAAGATTTCTACAGGGAGAGCCTGCTGTGCAGGTGCTTTGAGGCAACTCCTCTCAAAGTTCAGCTGGCCGCTGGTAACACTCTAGTAATGTGTGACCCAGGGAGCAAGAAGCTCATCCCACCAGACAAGGGGAGAGGCAGTTCTGCCTGTGTGCAGCAGGAAGCCAGTCTGTGCTGGAAGTTTATTTGAAGCAGAGGCAGAGAGCTGTCTTTGCCATCAGCTCTGAACTTTAATTAAACAGATTTCTTTCTTCATTCTTTTACTTCATTTTTATTGTACCTCTGAGACTGTTCTAGCTGTGGTGTGGAGGGTGGCTTATTGGATCACTGTTTTACTTTATTTATTAATTGCATTGTTGTGACTTTATCACAGGGGCTTTATAGTAATTATTATAATTTTTATTTGTAGAGAGCCTTTGCACTCATGGATGGGGTAGAAATGTAATAAACAAATAAATAAATAGCAGCCTGTGGCAATACAGGTTCCCCTGGATATGTGACAGAACCTGCTGGGACTGCTTATGTAGTGAACCCTGGTCTTCTGCTCGCTCGCTCGCTCGCTCGCTCTCTCTCTCTCTCTCTCTCTCTGTGATGAGAGAGAGAGAGAGAGAGAGAGAGAGCTCTCAGCCTTGATAGAGGGGTGAATGTGCATACTAATGCTACCTTTGTAGCATGCCTGCTGCTAGACCAGGGGTGCAATACAGTTAGTGACTCGATCACAGTAAAATGGCTTTGGTGCAACAAGCACAAGGCAAAAGTAATGTATGAACGGGACCTGGGAGAACCACACCGTAAGCTGCGCAAAAAACTGCTGAGGTGCAAAACCGTCCAAAATGTGCTCCAGCCAATTGTTTGTTCTGTCACCCTTGGAATGTACCTGAAATACGCCCCTGCCTAGCTGGCAGAATGGATGGCAGTAAGAGATCAGCAGCATTAAAATGTTTGGTAACAGAAACACTGAGGTAGCAGCAGGTGCATCCAAGCGTGGCCAGGGAGACAAGTGGAACCTCTGTGTACATTGTGAGTCAGTGATCAGAAGTGAGCAAAAGTCATGCTTGAACAGCAACACAATGTAGCTGTGCCAGGTACTTTTAGTTTTTTTTTTTGGGGGGGGGAGTTATCCTATTTCTTGACCATGATAAATGCTGATAAGGGAGTTCTGTTTGCAGAGTTTCATCTGTGATGCCTTGTTAGGGGTGTGTGCGGGGTCTAAGAGGAAATGAAAAGCCAGCGGATTTTCTAGGCCTGATGATGGACTCCATCTCATCAACCCTGGATGACACAAGCCAAGTGATCATGCAGACTTCCATTTTTAATACAGCCTGCAATCTATGTTTCTTTTTTTAAAATCCAGGGAAATGTGTGCAAAATTCAGGCTCCTGCTATAGAATTTGTGCAAATTTGTAAGAATGGTGGAGCAAATTTTGTACTAATCTGAAATGGACTATCAGAAAATTCCAAGCAGCCAAGGCGAACTGTGTGCAGTGCAGCAAGAGCAGGGTGTTTGCATACATCTCATGCTAAATGCTACAAGAACAAGCATCAAATGAATTGGGCCTGATTTGCACACACTGTGCTAGAGATTTTAGTTCTTGGCTCCAAATTTGCACAAACATTTTGAACAATTTCCGGGAAGGCAAAAAAAAAAAAAAAAAAAGGCTCCGGCTAGACCTGCTTTTGGCTGTTAGGCCTGAAATGTGTTAAAAGCCCATTGTTAGGTGTTTTAGTTTTGCAAATCCTATCATAGATACATGATAGATACATGCAACCATTTCCTCTTGCTGTAACTATAAGCATGTTAGGTATAGTAACTAGCCCTGGCAGGCCCTAATACAAAATATTTTCATAGTCATGCCAATAAACTTGATCCATGAGATTTACTTTCACTCCTATTTACCTGTTCACTTTCGGTATCCAATGCAGATGTCGCTTCATCTAATAGTAAGATCTTGGGATCTCGGACAATGGCCCGGGCTATAGCAATGCGCTGCTTTTGTCCACGAGAGAGTAGCGATCCTTGGGCCCCAACATTAGTTTCATATTTCTGGAAGACAAACATAACCTGAAATTTAAGTGACTGTTTATCATTGGAATAAGAGGATAGATAATTATGATGCTGTCACTTTGGGAAAATGAAACATGAATCATTAACATATTACTGCTATTCTATTAGTGGAGTGGCATGAACTACAGTTGACTTTATGTAAATTGTCCTTCATTGCATTCTGGGTTTGAGTTTAATTTGGAGTTTGGCTTTGGAATTTAACAGAAAAGGAAATCTGGGTTATTGATATGAGCAGCTCATGTTATTCTTTGGACATGAAAGCTATTTAGAGCTGAATGCTTACAATTAAAATAAAGCTATTAACTAATTCCACTGAATGCTTTAAAAAAGCACAATTAACTCTGAGCATAAAGATCCAAAAGACCATTCTTCCTCCCACGCAGCGTGACCTGTTGAAAAGCACACTGAACCTGGACAGCCATCTGAGTGGGATGGTGCAAACTGGTGTCCTGCAACACCAGGGGGTTGGACACGATGGCCTTCTTGGCCGCTTCCAACTCTTCTGTTCTATGATTCTGTGATTCTATGAGCTGCTCTGGGGCAGGAGCAGGTCTTGCTGGGCCGTGACAGCACTGAGGCTGCTGCCCCAAGTGATCTCCAAGTGATCCTGGGAGAAGCAGCCCTGGGACCCCGCTGACCACGCGCCTGCTGTTGCCCGTGGCTGCACCACTCTGACTCTGCCCTGGCTGCTGCCCTGTGCCCTAGGCCTCCCTCTAAGCAGAGCGTTGGTGGAGACCACACTCTGCAGGGCTGTGCCAGGCACTCAGTCCCGCCTGTGGAAAGGGCCACTAAGGGTGGCTGCCTGCCATGGCTTTCTGTAGTTCTGCCAAGCCCAAGTGCCTCCCTCTAAGTGCCCCTCGCTGGAGGGAGCCACCGGCACAGGGGTGACCGCAGAGACCACCCGTGCTTCCTCAGCATGCTGCGCTCTGGAAAAGAGAGGGGGCACGGAGGCTGTCAGCAGTGCCGACTGGCAGGGTGGCTCCTGTTTCCGGACCCTCGCCCAGGAACAGCACACGGAGGCCACGCATGCTCCCTGTCCCCATGATAGCAGCAGCATGTCCTCCCGCTTCTGTTCTGGGACAACCGCAACGTGGCTGCCGTGAGAGACGTGGCGGGCGCAAAGGAAAAGCCAGCTGCCCAAAAGGCAGAGTGCAGCCCAGGGACAATGGTGGGAAATGGAGGTGGCGCCTGCCAGGGGTTCTTAGGATGCTTCAAAGCAAACCAGCGGCAGCAAAGAAAATGGTTCCTTTTTTAAAAAAAAAGGGGGGGAGTAGGACTCCTTGGAGGATGCCAAGGAAGGCATGTGTTCAGGAGCACAAGGACAGTCAGAACACCATGCTGCCTGTCCCAGTTATAGTCCGACTGCTGCCTAAAGGCAGGGTCATCTTCACCGCAGGGCCTCACAGTTCAGTCCACAAAACCCAAAGCACGACATTCCACAGGCCAAGCACAAGCAAGAACCCACGTGCTAAATGGTGGGGATCTACTATTTGGCGCTTGTGTCAAATCTGGTACCTGCCTCCTGCTGCCAACTCAGAGGCCGGAAAGAAGAGTGGCAGGACCAGCAGTTTTGGAACTGTGCCTTGGCAGCAGGCCCTTGGGGGCTCTGGCCCCCCACCCTGCCATCGCTTCTCCAAACAGTCCTTCAAAAACAGCTAATTATCTCTGGCATTTTTACCCTACCCTTCCTCCAAGAAGCTCTGGAGAGGGCATGTTTTTCCCTTTTCCATAGGATCCTCCCAACAACCTCTTAAGTTAGGTTCAACTGACAAAGGGTGGCCAGCCCCAGGTCACCCAGTAAATGCAACCTTGATCAAGGACACCTGGTAGCAGACACATGGCCACGTAACCAATGTATAGTCGATCTTGGAACAGCCCTGAGAGATTCCGTGGTTCACAGCCCTGTGGACTCTTTGTAGTAACCCTCTTTGTTTACACCCCCACCGTAGTTAAGGCGCTCACATCGGGAAGGGACATGACGAAGTCATGCAGCTGAGCCTTCATGGCTGCCGCTATCACGCTTTCCATAGAAATTTCTCTGGTGTTATCGCCGTATTTAATATTGTCAGCAATACTACAGTCAAAGAGCACAGGCTCCTGAGACACAATTCCAATTTTAGATCTGAGGAACTGCACGTTGACTTTCTTGGTGTCGTGTCCATCGATCAACTGCACATTAAAAACACAAAACACAAAATATTTAGTTGGCCACAAGGGGTTTAAGGGTGGAAGTTTCAGTTTTACAACCTACATTAAGCTGACTGGAACCCCTAAATGCAGAGACTTATAGCTTATGGGATTCTTATTCCCTGCTGAGCTAAAGGTGGTAGAGCAGGAGGAGTGACAGAGAGGATCTTTGCCTTCCCGTCCCTCATTTTGTGCTGTTCTTACTAGATGGGCTTTTTGGACCCTATAGCAAGAATGTCTTTGAGGAGAGGGAAGGAGTCTGGAGGACCCACACCCTCCCACTGGACTGCCCCCATTACCACCTCTTCAAGGCAGCTTTTTAACCTCAGAGAGGCAACCCTGTGATTCTCTCTGCTCTGTCTGTGAAAGGGATCAGATGCCCAACTCCCTCTTCTGACTCTTAGCTTCGAATGGGTTTTCCAAGGTATGGTCCTCGAGATGGTCCTCGAGATGCTTGCTGAGGAACCGTCATATTCCCGACTGGTTTCCCACAATTTAAACAAGAATTTGGTTGGGATGTAATTCCCTTGCTCTTTTGCTTAGATTTAACCCTAAAAAGAGTTCTATAGAACTCACTTGGATAATGAATTTTGAACAAATCACACCTATAACAAATCTTGCAGAATGGAACAATCTTGTTTGAGATCCCAGATGCTCCACTGCATCCCCCCTCATACCCATTTTTCTTCAGTTCTTCCTGAACAATCAATCAGCACTGGGTGCTCACCAAGCATGCTAAGACTTTTGGAGTCCCAGTCTCACCTGACCAGCATTTCTTGTAAACAGTATTTGTTATTTTATTCTTGGGTTCCTCCAAGCTTGCAGATACCTCTCTCTTATGTACTACTTTTAATAAACACAAGAATAATTTGAAGAACAGAGGTTGCATTAATATATACAAGAACTTGGAACAAAGTCAGTGTGACTCCATCCAATCTGTATGTCCCCCTCTTGGTTTTCCATTTCACCCACAGTAGTCAGCCAGCACTCTTTTGCTTTTATTAAAAGAGGGTTTTCCCCTACTTCCCCAGTAGTCTTCTTTTTTCTTTGAAATTTGGAGTTTCCTGTTGAGAGCTCCCTCTTATGTGTGAGTGGGGGTGCCATTTAGCTACCTAAGCAGAAGTCCCTACACTGTACATTCAAACACAGAGGGAATGTTGTTGAATTCAGGCAGTTCGGTAGATTCTATGCTTGTTATCAGCTGAGATTCTTATAAGAGATACTCTTATTACATGAAATCTTCCAAGTTGTTCATTCAAACAGTTTATTCAAATTGTTACCCAAGTGTATTCAGTGGAAACGTGCTTGCCCATATTTGTGATGTCTGTCATGCAACAGTGATTTCGCATGATTCTACTCTTAACTTTTATAAAAACGGGTAGAGCAATATCCAGTGTTAGTCCTTACTAAGACTAACTTTAGACCCACTGAAAGGAGCAGGACCTGTCTCATTCAGTTCAATTGGCCTACTCTAAACAATCACAGTCTTCTATTAATACGAAAGTAACTTTTATTCTGTCATGAATTGCAGACTATGTGGGGGGTGGGGGGAGTGTTTCTATCACAACTGCTGAGGGGGAGGGAAACGTAAAGCTTTAAATGTAAATATTGCCGTCCCAGCTTCCAAGTTGCTACTGTGTGGAGTCTGAGGCTAGCAGTGGCTACTAACCACAATGATTATATACCGCCCTGGGGTTCAGTGGTACGATTGATTCCCCTGTACTGGAGACAAACAGTGGAGGAAGGCTTTTGCCCCTTTGCCAGCTTGTGGGCTCTCCAAGAGGCATCCAGTGGGCCCCTGTGAAAAACAGGCCTGTAATCTGATCCCGCAGGGCTCTTCTTATATCCCTGTGAGTATTACGGGATGAGTCCTTGGGTGCGATCCAGGCACAGACCTTCGTATGACTGTCAGGATGCAAGACTCAGGACCTTTAAGCAGATGACATGCCTTTTGGTGTGTGCTAAGTAGGAGGAGTTGGGTGCAGGATCCTGCTCTTGCATGCTGATCACCCTTACTGACAAAGTCCACTTCTTTCTAAGAGAAGAAAAGGCTGGATCTTACTTTTCATGGTTATTTGAGGGTTTGTGCGGGACTTACAAACCAAGTCATTACAGACAATCCAAGCCTGGAATGCCAAACCTAGTTTTACAATCTCTGTCCTAAAGTCTACAGGAAAACTGTAGACATGTTTAATTTGCATCTGCTTTTTTATGTATGTTACCCTGAGAGTTTGCATATAGAGCAATGCATGCATTTAATTAACTCCTCCTCCTCCTCCCCACTGGTGCTATTTTGCTAAGACAATGGGCAACTTACCACTGTTCCTTCCTCAGGGTCATAAAATCGCTCCAGAAGCTGGACACTGGTGCTTTTTCCACATCCGCTGCTGCCCACAAAGGCAAGGGTCTGGCCAGGCTTCACGGACACTGAGAGGCCATTTAACACTTTGATGTTAGGGCGAGTCGGATATGTGAACTTACAATTCAGAAATTCAATGCTTCCGCTGAAAATATCCTGAGTTTACAAAGATAAAAATGTCCTGGTGGAGTTGAGTTCACAAAACCAGCATTTCCCAGTCCTCCCCTGGAGCAAAGGCATGGATCTCTGTGAAAGATGATTTTTACAAGGGCTCTCCAAAACTATCTCCAAATCATAGCTCCCTCCACACTGGCAGATATATTCTGTGCTTTGACAATAGTTTTAGTGGCATCTTATGTTTTAAAAAATCATAAAGATGTTTCATGTTTTTGTGCTATGGCTTTGGCAAGCATGGGATTTGTGACTTTTTAAAACATTTACTAGAGCCAAATTTTCATGCAGTGACTTTCCCAGGTCTGTTGTGACTGGCCATATCTGCACAAAAGTTATTTTGTGACTGTCACTGATGAAAGACATTTTGTGACAAATACTCAGAATTCCAAAGTCCCCACAGGCCCAAAAACTGTGGGGAGCCCTGCCCCAGAAAACGTCTTTCAAATTCCTTTTCTGAGAGTGACCGCCATCATTATGAACCATCTGGTTGTTGAAGATGCTATCACTGAGGCTTCTGTTTGATACAATCAGGACACAAAGTACAAACAGCAGCCCTCATGCCAGCTGTCCCCCAGCTAGTGCCTGCCAGATGTTTTAGACTCCAAATTCCATCTGCCCCAGCCAGCAAAATCAGTGGTCAGGAATCTTTGGAACTGTAGCCCAAAACATTTGGAAGGCACCAGGTCGGGCGAGCCTGGTGTTGTAACAAACCTCATTGTCCTTAAAGCACCCACTACTGGCTCCAGGTGTTTGAGAACCCTCAGCCAGCAGACCTTCCCTCAGTGAGTCCACCTCTCACTGCCAGGCAGACAGGCAGGAGCCTGGAGGCAGGACATTTCTGCTCCTCTTTCTCTCCAGGACTGTCTGTCATCTGGGCCAGACCAAGAGGCAGATTGCCATGGTGAAAAGCAGCAGCAACTCAGGGGCCCTCTGGTAGGTGTCCAACCCTACCTACCGTGATGCTAGCCTTGGAGGTGCCGGGATAATTTTGTCTGCTTGCACTACAAAACAGGCTAGCAAGTCTACCCCTCCAGAAATTGCTCTTAGCTGCAATCTCATAGCAGGTTACTTGGGAGTAAGCTCCACTGAACCCAGTGAGAAAAACATCAAAGGACTGCACTCTTTTCTTTTTTATTAATTACATTTTTATACTACCATGTAGCCCATGGGGCTCTCTGGGCAGTGCACAATATAAACAAGAATGAAAACATTAAGAGACAATAAAACAGAAAACATGAAATTCAGCAACTCGACAGGCTATAACAAGGGGTTATCCAACTTATAAACACAGTAGCAACTTGGAAACATCAATAAAAAGAGTATTAAAACCAATATTTCATTAACTATTAAAATGTCTGGTAAATAAAAAAGTTTTAACCTGGTACCAAAAGGAGAATAAGAATAGCGCCAGGCAAATTAGTTTCCATTCCAAAACCAGACCTGAAGCCTGACTGAAATGCATCTGGACAATCTGTTTCATCCAAGAGACCCTGGAGCTGCCCGGCCACCACCTGCTCAAGCACCTTGCCCAGGGCGGGGATGTTAGCAACTGGTCCATAATTATTCACATCCACTGGGTGCATGTGAGGCTTTTTTGGGGTGGCACAACCACAGCCTCCCTTAAAGGGGCTGGCATCACTCTTTCTCTCAAGGAGGCACTGACAGCCTCCTGGACCTGGTGCCAATCTCTTCTTCAGATCTTCCAATTAGCCATGATGGGCAAGGGTCGGGCACACAGGTCGTAGGATGGACATGGCCAAGCACCTTGTCCACATCCTCTGGCCACAAAAGCTGGAACTCATTGAACAAAATCACACCAGACAGTGCCCGGGATACCAATTACTGAGTCATTTCTACCCCCTCATTAAATAACATTCAAAAGAAAAAGAAAAAGGAAGTAATCTATTTAACTGTAAAGACTGACTCATTTCTTCGTATTTGCACTATTCCAAAGAAAAGAGAAGTTGCGCAGAAACTACGTTAATATTTGCATTGCCTTACTGTTGATGTATTTACCACCACATTTTCTGCCTTGCAGGTGGTTTTAAAGTGCAAAACCAGCATGTCCTGTCAATGTCATAGCTAGGGAGCTACGAGGTCATAACTGCGTTCATCTGCTTGCATCCTGCCACAGGGCGTGTGTGTTGTGTGTGTATGAGAGAGAGAGCTCTGTGTATGACTGCATACCTGTATATGCACACATGCCTGAGTATAGACACACACACAGCCCAATTTTCCCTTGTGAAGTCCAAGTGAAAAACCATGCTACCAGTGCAGAATAATGGACTCATCCTGAAAGATACATGACCAAATCAGTGCTTTCTTTGCGTGGTTCTGTAGGGCTATGAGAGTAGCCAGGGCCAGTCTCAAGGCCAGTAAATGCTTGGCCCTCACCTACATCCCGGCAGAAGCCTGGCAGCCAGAGCCCCACAAGGGCTGCTGCTCCTCTGCACTGCTGCAACCTGCCTTCCCATTTGGCTCTGGAACGGTGCCCCGGGGGGGGGGGGGGGGGGGGGGGGGGCCCCCCTGCTGGCCCCCCCCCCCCCCTTGGGCCCGGGAGGGGGGCCCCGGGGGGGGGGGGGGAGCGGAGCTGGTGCCACTCTGCTGGCCCACTGGCCCTCTGCTGACCAAGCAGGGAAGCACTGGCAAGGATGAGGCAGGGGCCGGTGGCAACGGGAAGGAGAAGGCAGCCTCACTGGGGAAGGCCCTCAGGAGCTCCCGCTGGTGTTCATCCATGCAGCCGCCTTGCTTCTCCTTTCTCTGGGTTTAGCTTAGCCATTGAACTTGCTAAGGGTGTGATCCTATGCATGTTTAGACAGCAAAATGGCCTACAGCTCCTAGCATGGGCTGAAGGATTGCCTTCTGTCTGGACATGTATAGGATTATTCCCTTAAGATCTCTGTACACAGAGGAGTGCGGAAACAACAGTGTATTAGGAGAGCTTACCAGGGAACTAGAGGGCCACTCTGGAGACAAAAATGCAAAGGGAGAGGCGAGAACTGGACATGTATTAGTAAACACCCATATAATGCCTTTTCTGAGCCACTGAGAGCATGATAAAAAGGTGTGCTGCGTGTACTGTGCATATGGGCAACTTAATTCAGCCCAGTATTAGAACCAGTTTGCTTTGTAATTGCAGATTTGTTCAAGTGAATAGGGTCTGTTTTACAAAACACGCAGGCTGCTCTTATGGGACCAGTACACCTGGTTTGTTCAGGTTTTCCTGTAAGCCTTAGAAATCTCTGCCCACACTATAATCTAGTTTGCATGAGTGTGGAGGAAGGGACTGCTGGAACTTTGATCTTCCCGATGCCACCATGGTGTGATTCCATTCTAATCCTTGTTCTTACCCATTTTTCTCCGATGTCACTGTATACACTGATTTGGGGAATCCGGTCCACTAGCTGGAAAAAGCGTGCTCCAGCTATTTTGGCTTTGGCATAATTAGGTGTGTAAGAGGATGCTCTTCCTAAAGCAGTTCCACTTGTCACAATGGAGGAGATCACTCTAGAAACCAAGAAGAAAAGTTTTAGCTCAGGGGAAACTTAATAGCCCTGCTGACTCAGGCCAAGCAGGGACGGCATGAAGGGCAGGGGTGGTCGGGCATCTGCCAAGCCCCCACAACTGAGCAGGGGCCCAATGGCAGAAGCTCTCTAGAGTAGCTCCACCTCTTCACCATCACAGCCTGCTTCCTCCTCTGCCTCTTGAGGGTACAAAGACGCGGTGGCGGTAAGAAGGAGCAGCTGTTGATGTCCCTGCCTACTTGTTCCTTGTCTTTGTGGGAATAGTTGCAAGAGAAAGGATAGCAATGGCAGCTTGTGGCAGAGGTGGAGAGAAGGTGGACCCAAGGAAGGGGGCGCTCCTGTGACTGACTTGCCCAAGGGCATGCAAGAAGCTGGCACCAGAAGAGAGGACCACTATTTGTTTTGGCAGTCGGCCAGACATGTATTGGAAGCCCATAAATAAGGCATGGACAAAAGAAATCTTCCCCACCTCACTTGGGTTTGATTTGCTTTGTTCTACCATAGCATGGCCACCATCAAGTACTTAAAAGATTAAAAGTACCAGCCCATAGGACATAGCTGTGCATTAGATATAGACATGCTAATTTATATATGTATAGGCAAATTTGCAAACTATTAGTAGGATTTATTTAAATTTCATGGGAGGTCAAGTAGCCAATTGATTTGCCGTTCAAATAGCTCAAATGAAGCAATTGCTTCGGTTAGTTTACTGCCTGACCCAGACCATCATAAACCATGAGGGAAAAGGGTCTCCCCCACACCCAACAGAGGAAAAATAGTGGGGGGGGGATTTTGGCATGTGGGGAGCAGTAACAATCATATATTATGCAATCGTCTTAGAAAATTGCATGCTGCAAGGCAACAATAGGCACCAATGGACACACGGGGCTCCGTGAAACCATTCTGGGGCGCTGGGAGATAGATTCAAGGCCAACCCCCATGGGCCTGGGCCTAGCAAACACTCCTGGTCCCCAGTAAAAGCTATTTAGAAATATACTGGCTTCTGAAATAAATTTATTGATTGACTGACTCATTGATTTGAATCATTATGCCTTTTATCCTTATAAAGGTATCATTTAGGTATCATTTGTCTATAAGATCTTGTGAATTCATGGCTCCTCTGTAAGGAAGAAAAGTGATTGTGTGTGTCCTTACCTGAATACATAGCTGTAGTGAAGACCTTCATTTTCAACTAAAAATCCTCCATACCGATAAGAGGCAGAATTGGCTATAAACACAACGCACTGTGCAAACCCAAAGCAGGCTCCATAAACGTTTGCCTTTTTGATTGATGCTTTGTATGGCATCTCCAGCTGTTTCTCGTATGCTTCTATGAACTTCTTCTCCTTCCCAATTCCAGCTACAGTCCTGATATTTGTAAGGGCTTCATTTGAAATCTGTCCCACCCCCCCACACACAAAAAAGTGAAAAGATTTGTCAGATATCAGTCTGAGAAGTATCTGGTTGCTTTCAGGAGAGCTTATATCTAAACTATACCGGATATATAAAACATATCTGTCTCTATAGTCATTTTAGAACACATGTATCTGAATTTCATACTGCAGCATGAAACAGTTCCAGTTCATGGGACTCAGTTGGATTCACCTGGCGTAAGGCACCGAGGGGAGTCCTGAACTGAGGGCCTTGGTAAGCCATTCATTGGCAAGTTGCCACCAGTACTCCAGTGCCTCAGCAAACCAGGCACACTAACCTCTGGCAGACAGAGGGCACCACTAAGGCTACCAAGCCACCCTGAATATATTTCACTAATCTCACAGTCCAGGAATGGCAACCTAAGCCACCCTTCCCCAGCCTGGTGCCCTCTAGATACTTTGGACTACAACTCCCAGGATTCCCAAACATTGGCCACCTTTGAATTGAATGTCCAAAGCTTCTGGGTGGCACCAAGTCAGAGAAAGCTGCTTCAGGCCAAGGGTGGGCAAATTAGCTCTCCAGATGTTTTAGATTTCAGCACTCAGTATTCCTGGCCATCAGCCATGCTAGCAGAAGTGTTGGGGAGTTTAAGTCCCAAACACCAAGGGGTCTATATTTCGCCTGCCCTGGCTCTTGTCTCCCCGATGAGCCATGCATGGCCTCTGGCCCATGTCTGTTTCTGGTCCTCATCTCCTCCACCATCTTTGACTGTGCCCTCAGCATCTGGTCCTCCTCCGGGAATTTGACTGCCAACCTATCTGTGACCATGTCCTCCTCCCCCGGTTACCTTCTTCTCGCCCTCAGAGTCTCATTGGCTTATCCCAGGGCCAGACCCCCTCACCCCCTCCCTCTGCAGCCAGACAGAGCTTGACCTGGTTTCCTAATCCAGTGAACACTGTTACTCCCTAGATGACTTTTACTCAACTGGGCAAGGCTGCTGTTGCAATTCCTAATGTGGGCTCTTCTGCTGCTCAACCCATGCAAATTGGCAAACACTGGCAAGAGAGGTCAGCAAACAAAAAGCTTGCCCTAGCTTGCTCTATTGCTCTCCATCGCATTCTCAAGTTCTTGGTATCAGCCGTGTGCACACAATGCCTTTGTGTTGTAAGCAACATACTGGAATATTGCTTTTGCATTGTTTGTTCTGGGTGGAGTAGCTCTAGTCTCATATTCAGTTCAATTTACATATGCTTTTGGTCCACAAAGGCACTTGGAGGGGCACGCCATGCTCACCCCTCCTACCATTGTTAAATTTCCCAATTGCTGTTGTTATGGAACTATAAGAAGTGATATTCTTATAGTTTTCTATTGCTTTGGTGAATGTCTAGTTTTACTGGACTTCTCAACTCAACAGTGTCAAACTGGGTTGTCCTTCCTGCTTCTAAGGGAATCCTGGGAACTGTAGTTTTGTGAAGGGACCTGGTCATCTAACTTAATTCTCTTACCATATCTCTTAATATTACTCTGAACCATCTTGCTGGGGTTATAGAAACCTGGAGTAGGTTAGCAGTATAGACAGAGCTACACTTCCCAGTCTGGTGTGAGCAGAACTTGTCTGTTGTGTTGACTAAAGAAAAGAACAAACCAGGTGTGGCAGGTCCTTGAACATTAGAACATGATTTTCTAGATTCTGGTGCAATGTTACATGTGCTTATACAGAAAAAGTCCTGCACCTCCCAGCATTCTCCAGACTGGCTGGCAACTGCTGACAGTTGGACTCAATTCAGTGTGAACATACATAGGATTGCACTCTTACGGTAGAATCGCATGCCTTTCTTCTCAAAATTAGTTCCCACTGAGTGAAATGACTTACATTCCAGTATCTGTATATGGGACTGTAGCCTTAAATGAATTTCTATTCGGATACTAAGCTAGATAAAACTATCTGAAGGAACAATAAGTCTGGCACAGAAGGCAAGAAGTATTGATTTGTTCTTTTCTTTACATCCTCAGTGTATTGAGTAATGGCTGATATTCCTGGCAGTTAGCCAATTGTCTGGTGACAAATATACAGCTTGAGGGCAGCAGCACGCAGATTTATCATGGGCCAAAATTCAGAGGATATCAGCCCTTAATAGTTCAGTTTCTTCCCCAAATAAAGCAGCAGTAGAGTCTGTTCTTCTGTTCTTATGATCAAGCCTGGCCAGTCACCATAAAACCATCCAATATTAATACATAAAATTTAAAATGGTTGTTTTAAAATCATTACCCTCCCAGTGGCTTCCATGGCTTGCTTGTCCTGAGAGGCAAACCCTGTCAGCATCTGAGCCTGCACCATGCCGGATAAAGCCAAGAAAGGCAAGAAGCAGGTGATGACTAAGCTGAGCTTCCAGCTGAAGTAGAAAGCAATGATGACGGCCACTCCGATATTGGCCAGGGAGTTCACAATCATTCCTATCTGGGTTCCGGCTGCCTTAAAATAAAATGAGACAAAAAATGGATCACTAACAAGCTTCTGTACAGTTAAGTGCTAAGGCACCGCTACCTCCAAACTGTTGAAGGATTAAACCTATTTCTCAGGAAAGACCACGGCTCTGGTCTCACCTTTTGTCATATACAGGTCAACACTGTGCAGGGCGAACCCCACAAGTAGCTCCTTACAGTTCAGACTTGAAACTGGAATAGGTCTGCTGCCCACTGACCTTGGAGTCACCAGCCTCCAATGCCTCTTTGCCCGGTTAATTTGCATATATGCAAGTTCATTTTGTTTAGTCAACAACTGGGTTCTTGTTGTGTAATTTGGAGGTGACTGACCAGAGCTCAGGGAAGAGATGATCCTCAACACCTCCAGGTGGCTAGAACACTTTGAAGTGCTATCCAGAGTAAGATCCTATTATTATTATTATTATTATTATTATTATTATTATTATTATTATTATTATTTCAGAGCTTTCTGGGTGGATTATGTTTATTCCCCTCAGCATTTTAAAAGAGCGGTGTGGGGAATAAAGCAAGCCCTCCCCACAGAGGAAACAGGTATCCTCGGCTTCTTCAAGGAGGGCTGGAAAAACACTTGCCTGAAACCCAGTCAGTGTTGGCAGCACTGGGCTGGCTAGATGGACCTATCGTATGATTTCCTCCATTCCTGGGAGTGAGACAAGGGAGAGGGCTGCCCCTTCCCTCCCGTTACTAAAGACTGCTTCCCTCTGGCATGCTTTTGCTAAATAGTAAGGCATATTATCCATGTGTGTTTTGGTTTAAGCCGCTGACACTGCCTCCTTGATGGATTGTTTTATATAGTTTCCATCAAATTTTAATTTTTAAATGCTGCAAGTCCCTCCATCAAGTGCTGTGAAGCAGCAGAAGGAGGGAAACGTTTATTTATTCATTTATTTGAAACATTTGTATGCCACCTATTGTGCCATAGCATCTCTAGGCGGGTCACAATCGAACAATTAAAACCATTAAAAACTAAAACAGCAATTACGCCTGAATCCAATAAATAAACTACATCAATCAAAATCCAAATGAAATCCAAATAGAGGTTTAGTGGCATCAAATATTAAACTGCTTTTATTTTTTTAAAAGATAGGTCTTTGCCTGGTGTTGAAATAGTATAAGGAAGGCACCAGGCGAACCACCTCAGGGAGAGCTTTCCAAATGTGGGGAGCAGCTGCAGAAAAGGCCCTCTTCCTAGCAGCCATCCCTCCCACTTCCCTAAGAGGTGACTCACACAAGAGAGCTCCCTGAATAGATCTCAAAGGTCAGGTCGGCATATATGGGTGTAGGTGCTCCTTAAGGGAACAGGGACCTAAGCTGTTTAGGGCTTTATATGTCAACACAAGCACCTTGAATTGGGCCCAGGCCACAACTGGTAACCAGTGTAGCTCTTTCAATGTAGGTGTTATATAGGCCGCTCTAGGAGCTCCCATTACTGAGTGGCCTGATTCTGCTGGACCGTCTTCAAGGGCAGCCCCACATAGAATGCATTGCAATAATCTATTTTGGATGTCACCAGTGCATGGGTAACTAATTTGTCTGTCCAGGTAGGGATGAAGTTGCTAAATCTGCCACAGCTGGAGGAAACCACCCCTGGAGCCCAAGTTCAGCTGGTATTCCAGGGACACACCTGGGTCCAGAAGCACCTCCGGACTGCGGAGCCTGTCTCTTAGGGGGAGTGCAACCCCATCTAGGATGGCAATGCTGCTCCACCTAGCTGCTTTTCCTTCCACAGAGTCGCTGATCTGTGATAAGCCAATGGCAATAATTGTTTTGTTTCATTTTGATTAAGTTTATACTGGACATACAAACTCCCTTCTGGACTGAGTTGGCATTTCTGATGTGTGAAATTACCTGTATGTGAAATCACTTACCCCCTGAACCTGAGATGCATCAGTGGCTAGTCTTGTAGTCAAGGCACCCGGGCTGTTCCTGTGATCATCAAACCAGCCAATTTCTTGGCCTAGCATAGCCTGGAAACCAATTTTTCTGAGCCGTCTTGTCAGCAGCTCACCAGACTTTGCAAATGTGTATCCCTGCAATGTATTTTTAAAAGAATGTCAATCTAGCCTCAAAGAAGTATGATGAAATTACAAAAGGTGGCAGGGGGAGGGGAGAAAAGCACAGCGCATCCTACTGAAAAGCGCATGCTGTTGTCTTCACCTGCAAGAACTGCGTGCAAAATGACACCAATCCAACAAATACAAAGAGCAGGCAGATGCCGTTGATCTGTGATCTTTGCTCTTCCTCGTCGGGCATAGAAAAGGTCTTGAGAAAGAAAAGAAAATGCTGTTTTCACACCAGAATGTTAAAAAGCACATTGCAATCCTTTTGCACAATATTTGTGTCACATGATTACAGTGATGTGGAAAATCACTTGATTGTATATTCTAGGACTGCCTTCCGCTTCTTGGGGCGCTCCTGATGTGTTGGACTGTGATGGTCCACCGTGGCTGGAAAGGATGGAGAATGCCGCCATCCGATATAGGAGGTGTGTCCAGAAAGCAATGAGAACGAAGTCCCTACGCTCGAGAAGGGCTCTGTGAAGGAAGAAGCTGGCCAAGGCCACTTGGGGTTGGGTGCCAGGTATATGTTAGAACACTGATCAGTTGCATTCCAGCCCTGCCAGAGTTGAGACAGTCTTGTCTGTGACACCCTGTTCAACTGCCTCGTATTAAGAAAAATGCAGGCGAGTTTGGAACAGCGGTACATGATAAAATCGTGTGAAATTGGATAAAAGTGCATCAGAAACTTTGGCAATGGTGAGGAAAGGTTATGGAGAAGCTGCGCTATCATCTGCACAAGTGTACCAATGGCACAAGTTGAGATCAGCTCAACTTGGATCCTCCATCACAACAACACACCGAGTCACAGTGCTTTGGCTGTCGGAGAGTTTTGGACTGAAAAACACCTCACGGAGCTTCCCCATCCACCCTACAGCCCCAGCTTGGCTCCTTGCAACCTTTTCATCTTCCCAAAGATGAAGAATGGTTTGAAAGGACACCATTTTGGTAGTGTGGATAACATTCAAAGAGCCACTACGCAGGCCCTGAACACCATCCCACTTGAAGACTTCCAGGGATGCTATGAAGAATGGGAAAATCATTGGGAGCATTGTGTACACTCATAAGGTACATACTTTGAAGGAGAAAATGTTCAATTGTAAATTTTTTCAATAAAAGAATTTTAAAAATATAATTCTCATTACTTTCTGGACACACCCCTATAGCATCTATAAATGCTACAGATAAATAAAATTACTGAATCAATGGCTTGCTATTCCACTATATCCAATACTTATTTCTTCTTTATTTACTTTTTTAATAAATAAAGTTAGATATCTCAAAGCTGGGCTATAGCATATTCTTGAGTTTGCTAAATCCAAAGATGACAGGGATATTCCCTAAATTAAAAGTTTTGAAACTTACATGAACTTAATATATTAACAGCTTGATCGCATTTTACTTGGTTCCCCAAGTACCTATGTTAAACTACTTTTATCATGGTTAATTAAATTATATAGTAAAGTAGTTATAAAATACCTATTACACAAATAAACTATAGATACAGATGCTTGATTACCTATACTTTTATTATATATATAGGTATAAATTATTAATATATAATACTAATTTATAATATAAATAATATTTGTATTCTCCAGACTGCATAGCAATTTCCATATTTCCCAAGGATGAAGTTTCTCATAACAAACATGACACATTTCTACTGTTGGTGCTGCAACCCTTTCAGTCTCAGCAATGTGGCTCCAAAAATTTCTTGCAAGGGCACAGGAGGAAAGGATAAAATTAATAAGTAAAAAGAATGGTCCCCAACTGAGCTCCTTGCTTTCCTTGTACTGGTCAAGCGAAGGAGGAGCACGAAAGAGCACAACTGTCAAGGACTTGGCGTATCCAGTCCTGCCCTTGCATCTTTGGTAGTGCTACTGCATCCATGGGTCTTGGTGCTAGCAAAGGAGAAACTAGTTCTTCTTAAAGCAGGCTCAGAAATAAGCTGCCCATAATGGATCATATTAAATGCCAATGGCTGTAATGATCATGCTAATTAAAAGGCACAAAGTATGCTTTTGCTTTCTAAAGTATCAAGTACCATTTGGTACCTCTGTTTTGTTGCATTGATAAAAAGTTGTGCCAACCCTTGCCCCAACTGTGTCATCGGCTGGATCATGCAGAGCCACGCTACGTCAACGATGCTGGCAGAAGTGGGTTTCCTGGCCGCTTCCTTCTTACAGCATCTCCCCCAGCCTCTTGAAAATACTACATCAAGTTGGAATTGAAAATACTACATCAGGAGCCTTATGGAATTGGACAAGAAGCAGAAAATATAAGGAAGAAAATCCATTTGCACCTATGTGGCGTTAGACGAATGAGTGGAGGCATTCAATGCATAGGAAAGAAAGCGGGTCATCAGGACTTACACCAAGAATCTGACTGAACAGGATGGCATACAGTGGGTTGACGGCCCCGTTGGCAGCAGCTCCAAAGGATCCCAGCACCATATAGGGCCACTCAGAAGCGTTGTATTTCAGGATCCTCAACACATTCGTGGGTTTTACTTCTTCCTCATCTTCCGGAATCAGCTCCTAGAAGAATTTTAAAAACATGAAGGGAGTGAAAACATTCCTAAATTGGAAAAGCATGCCTTTTCCAAAAGATCCATGTTGTAGTAGCATCGAAAATAATAAGCAGGGTCACGGCTGTCTTCTACTCCTGTTCCCTCCATGCTTCCACTATACGGTTGCAAGAGAGAGTTGCACGCATGCATGGAAAAATGAGTCACTTGTATTCATGTCTGAATCATGCATATACCCACTTTGGAAAGCAGTGCACTCACCCATCTAATCGCCAGTGCTTTTCATAATGTTCAAATTTGCCGTTATATTTATTAGGAAGAACCAATGTGCACAGCTTCATCATAAACCTATGCCATTAGTGCACGGTTAACACATCATGGCCAGTTGCTCAGTAATTTTCCATCCGTTTTAGAAGTGGTCATGAGAGGACAATCACGTCTGGCCACAAGTCTTCTTTTCAAAGGTCCCTCTCTGCACCTCTCATCTTTTTCAGATGCCAGGAGCTTTAAATTTCAGTGCCTAGAAAGCCGTCTTATGTTCAGGGCTGTTCCTACCATTAGGCAGGAGGAGGCAGCTGCCTGAAGCAGGCAATGGTGGAGGATGCAACAAAGGCTTGCACCCCTAAGCAAGCCTGCAGACATCTGGTGCTGTGGAGGATGCCCCATCTCTAGTGCTGAGGAAGGATGCAGCTGCCTTTGCATCCCGTCTGCCAGTGCACACCGAGTGGAGAGGGGCTTCGGCTTTCCTTCGCCTTACAGCAAAATGCCTTGGGGCAGCTCTGCTCATACTGACTCAGACCACTGGTCTGCCTAGTTGAGTCCTGTCCACAGCAGCGGTAGGCAACCTGACAGCTTTCATTTCTTTTGGACTACAAGATCCACAAGCCCCTGCCAACACAGCCAATGGTCAGGACTGATGGGAGCTGCAGTCCAAAACATTGGAGGGTGCCAGGCTGTCTATCCTTTATCTATCCACAGATGAGCAGCGGCATTTCAGGTTTTCAAGAAAGGTTGAACCCTGGAGCTACATAGCATGTACGTATCTTCCCCATGACCTACGGTCTCTCCCCAGATTTGCTGATATAAAACTTATCCAAAGCAAAACTCATCTCACCAATTTCAGACCCACCCCTGCGGCTTCTATTTTCCACTTTCACTAACCAATGTGGCACAAAACCAAGATCCTTTGCATGCAGGATGATTGATATCAGGCCATTGTGTCCACTCAAGTGTTTTGTCTCATGCATTAGACTAAGAAAACTTCTCCTCCAAAAAGCTTCATATTGAATATTTATTCCACGTACATATCATCTGCATCCCTTAGCAACATGCTTGGGCACTGGGGTCGCTGTAAGATGGTCTCCTGGTGGTTCCCACAGCCTGATGCCTGGAATGGAATCCACCAGGAAAAGAACCTGCAGTATGGAGATCCCTTTCCTATGAAATTCCTGGCTTGGGAGGTCAGGCAGGCACCAATATTGTGTTGCTTTCTGCACCTCAGAAGACATCTCCGTTTCAGGAGGCCTTTCTTGTTGACCAGCCATGGTTCTAGCACGTCTTGTATTTGACATATTATTTTATTATCATATTTATTTTAGTTTTTGTTGTTCACTGCTCCAGAATCTGCTTGGATACAGAAACAGTGTAAATAAAATTCCAGTATACCAATTTATAGACTGCATAGCAGAAACTTCAAAAAAGTTTCCTGTTCATTTTGTGGGAAAGTAATTGGTCAGGACCAGAAAAAGAGGAAGAAATGATGTTTGTCTTTTCTGTAATAATGACTATGACTGACCTTTTCAATGGGTGTGCCATCTTTTTCATACTGATTTGTGCTATAGATATGCTGTGAATTAGCTCCTACAAGTGACCCTGGATGCTCAGGTAGTGCACTGGACATCTGAGATCTGGAACGCTGTCGGAGGGAAGCTCTATGGAACAGTAAAGGGAAAAGGTCTAGTCTCTGGAACATCTGTTTGAGAAGCTTGTATCATTACATGCGAAGAGGAAAGAGTCAAATGGCCACCTCTTTGCAGGGTGAGCATTTGTCTGCACTTAATTCTGTCACTGGTTTCTACTTGCTACCATTATTAATATATATACAATAACTATCATTACCTCTGTTTCTGATATCCAGACACGAGTGCCAATATTTAGGCAGCCCTAACAGGAATGTCCACTCAGAATAGGGAGTGGTATCTACAAGCTCAGTAGATCTATCACTAAACTTCAGTATTCAAAATACATGTTTCTTGTTCAGCCCACTTCCAAAGCCTTTGGTAAGAACTGTTGGGTTATACACTCAGGCACTTCAGCTATTCTAGTGACTCATACCCAAAGCAGTGCTATGATCCCCTATTCTCAGTGATAGTTTACCAGGATCAGGTCCCAGGAGGTACCTGTTGAAACTGACTGTAGCACGCTGCTCTTCTCTAGCAGAACGTGCCTGATATTTACGGCAACACTGCATGATGAGATTCCTTTTGCTCTAGTACAGGGATGGGGATTTCTAGCCCATAAACCAAATACGGCCCGCCAGGGTGCCCCGTCCAGTTCTGCCTTTTATCCTGGCAGGGACAGGTTCTTGTCTTGTTACTTACATTCTTGTAAGTGTCAAGGAAAGGGTCAGCAAGAGAATCTGAGTTTTAACAGAGCAAACGTTCAAGAATGCACACAGTCACTCTGACCCATAGATAAGAAGGAAATTAAGAAATGTGCTTGTGATGACCATGAGATGGTTTACAAAAAATGTCAATATCCTTTTTTCCCAAGCAAACAATGCATATGTTCACTGTGTTCCAGAACAAGAAAGTAAATCTCCTTTGTCACCCTAAGTAAGCAAAAGAAGCAAGTCATGTCCGTAGTAAAGCTGTTACTTTACTACGTGCACCAAAGGTGTACACAGTGTGCTACGTTTCACATTATTCTTTGTTACTACCTCTTAATCATAACAACCTCTGGCATGCAAGACAAATAAATCTTCTAATTAGTATTGCTGTGTGGCAAGAACTTACTTTGAAAGGACCTCCAGGTTTGAACCAGAGAGGGAGCTTCAGCCTCTCCTGAGACAAATTTTTTGGAGTCCCATACCATAAAAGGCTGACAGTTATGAGTAGGATTTTTCAGATACTTTTCTTTCTGCATCCTTGCTTTTAAAAGGCACAAAGATATGACTTACCTCAAGCTGTTCTGATAGCTTCCCCTGCTGAAAGATGGCACTGCCTCCAGTTCTGGTTCCAACACTGTAAAATGTAACCATAAAAGTCTGCGATTAGTGGGAAAGGAAATCCTATCTATTATTGTTTGTTAGAGCTATTTATGGTCCATAAAAGAAATCTATTGCTATGACAGAAGGCTTTGTGCAGCAGTTTACTGAACCTTATATCCAAATTTTGATTATTCTGTAGAACAAAAGTGTAACTTTAGCCTAAGTACAGTATTTGCAGAGCAGTTTTAAGGCTCCTGGGAGTGCTTGTCGGAAAGCTGTTGGGCATCGACGTGCCTCCCGGCTGTGCTCCCATGCCTGGCCCAGAGGGAGGCTGTAGCGAGTGCCTGCTGAACATGGGCTGCTCACAGGAACAAGAAGTTATGAAGAGCACTGCTTGGTGTACCTGCAACTGGGTGGCAAAGCACAGGCTCCTAGTGCAGGCTCACCCTCTCAAGATGCCGTGAGAGGAGAGCATTAGAGCAGTCCCAAGGGGTGGCTCCTGGTGGCCATTTTAAACTACAGCTAGTGGGCTGGAGATGTGCGTGGTTCCCCCATATCAAAATATCATTGCAGATGGGAATATAACTGTTTAATGGGTCATGTCAGCTCTGTATGGTACACAGAATGCTTTACATGGAGAAATGTTCAAGTGTGTGATCTTTTCATCCGCACTTGAAAATAGCACTTCCCAGCACAAACTGTGTTATATGACTGGTTCTTTTCTTTCACAGCAAAGAAAAGTCTCTACAGCTTTTCACAGGGACCAGCCATTACGAAATGCAAGAGAAATCGAAGCATTCCTGAAACGACATATGCCCTGTGTCTTCAGAATAATATCCCAGAAAGACCGCACAACCTGGTCTGGAAGCATGTATGAGAGACCTAAGCACTGTGCAGTGGTTGACGTGCCTGATGGGAATGGGAAGATTCAGATTAAAACGCCTACCTAGCTAGCCACCTCGCAGAATGAGCTCCCGGCCAGTCACTACGGCTCAAGCTGGCCTACCACAAAGAGTTCATAAGAAAACTTTGAAAGGACCATAAGAAGTGGGACGGGGAGAACTTGCCACACTGCATTTAGCTCCTTGGAAGACAAGAGAGATGTAAGGATAATGAAGACTCTATCTGCACCAACAAGTCCATTTAAATCATGAGTGTTCATACAAATGTACCACAGCAAGGCAAACTGCCTTGTTCAGTGCATGTGTGCAAAGAACTCTGTCTGAGGGATATCTATGCGTCACTAGCAGCAGAACACTATATTCAAAGTGACTTTGCCTAATGGCAAAAATGATACTGGGCAGATGGACAAATGGTTGGCTTGGAAAAGACCACCATCCTTTGTCCTTATGCACAGGCCTGGAGCCTAATTTCACTGAATCACAGAATCATAGAATAGTAGAGTTGGAAGGGGCCAGAAGGTCATCGGGTCCAGCCCCATTCTCTTGCAGGACACCAATTTACACCATCCTGCAAGCAACTGTCCAGGTGCTTTCTGAATGTCTCTAGTGAGGGAGAGTCTGCAACTCCTCCAGGTAATAGATTCCCTTGTTGTATTGCTCTGACAGTGAAGAAATTCTTCCCGGTGTCTAGTCTAAATCTGATTTCTTTTAGAATCATACAGTGGAAGAGGCCTAGCAGGACATAGGGTCCACCCACCCAGTCAGTGCAAGATTCAAGTCACCCATTCAGATTTCAATCAGGCCTGATCCAGATTAGCCTCCAAGATTAAGCAGGATCAGACACTTTGGGCTACATGGAAGCTAATAAAGTCCATTATTCCATGTCCCACACTCTTGAAAGGATAAGAAGAGAGCTTGTCCTTTCTCTTTGTGACAGCCTTTCTGGTACTTGTATAGTGCTATGTGAAACAAACCAACAAACACAAACTTAGAATGGGATGCTTACCCTGTACTGCTGTTTCAGCGTGCTCCTTGTCTCCCTGGCTTTGCAAAGTCACCAGTGTGAAGTAAACCCCTTTTCGTTCCATCAGCTCCTCATGTTTCCCTCTTTCTACCGCTCTGCCATGCTCAAAACCAATGATGACATCAGCAGTTCTGACTGTAGACAAGCGATGAGCTATGGAGATTACTGTACATCCAAGGCGAGCCTAAAGCGATGGGTGAAAAAGTGAGGAGAATGAATGAAATTCTTGGCTTTGCCCTTTCCATATAGGCTTTTTTTTCCTTTCTTGTTATTACAGGAACTGTCTTTTGACATTCTTCTCTAATTATGTCTCTGGCTTCAGTCCACAGTTCTTCTGGCTCAGGCTGAATTAAGATGAGCGACACAACCATGTTCTTCATGCGGATTTTAAATTCTTCTTGGATATTACTTGAGTTTTTTCTTGGCACTGTGTTTCTGTGGGTGATCTTTTCAGCCTGACTCAGATTTTTGAAACTAGGAGCTGATGGTCGCTGCTGCAGTCTGCTACTGGTCTTTTAGATCTTAGCACTCTTATTTTACAGTTGGTTTCACCTTGGTTTTATGTGCTGTAGTGTTTTTGCTGTGAATTTGGTTTTATCACATGCTATTAAATAAATTTAACAAATGTGCTGACTGTGTCTTTTTATGTTTTTCCTACAGCACTTGGGATATTAAGTGATTAAGAAGTTCAATGATTAATATCAAATAAACAAAAAACTGTATATTGCTTAAAATGCAGGGGGTTTGATTTTCTTTAAAAATAGTCATATTTGTTTCCAAACAAAGGTTTAAATAGCAGCATGGGTACTTCGCCTCTCATGCACTGTCCACTAATTCTCAAATTTGTAGCACTGGTACAGCAACATACAGCCCTCAGTGGCTATTTGGTCCCCAAAAGTGCCATCTGAGTAGAGCAGCACTCGTTTAGTCTTGCTCAGGGTCAGTTCGATGCATATATATTTAGACAGACAAAAGGGACTGCAACACCCAGGATGGCCGACTGGGGCATGTTGGGAGTTACAGGAATTGTTTCCTGTTTAAACATACATAAGATCACATCGTAAAGGTTTTGTCATTTGTCACCCTAAAGCAGCTACATTAATGGTAGGAGGGCAGCTGCTTTCTCCATAACGGCACTTCTCCTTCACTACCTATTTTTTCTCTCCATCTAACAGGGCACTATATGCAGAGGGTCTTTGGGATCCCAATTCCCTGGAGTAGTTCACACAACTTCCTCCCCATTAACTGCACCCCTGCTAAAATAATAGCTATGCGGAAAATGCATGCATGCTTGATGGATAATGGTGGATATGAGCTTCCAAGCAGTAGAATTGCATCCAATCCACTGGTTTCTTTATGGAACTCCAAAGAATTCCAATGTGCAAGTAGTACCCCTTTACTCATCCTATGGATAAAAGCGAAAGGTTTCCCCATGAAATTAAACAGGATTTCAGCCCTGGGGGGTGGGAACTTTTGTGCCTCCAATTCTTTACTGAAGGAGCACTACAACGCAGCAAACCTTGTGAAGTGCCTCTTGCACTACAGCTTCACTTTCATTGTCCAGTGCTGATGTAGCCATGTCCAGTAGCAGGATTTTGGGGTTTCGAACTAAGGCTCGGGCAATAGCGATTCGTTGTTTCTGGCCTCCACTCAGTTGGCCACCACCTTCTCCAACAAGGGTGTCAAATTGCTGAAATAGCAGGAAATAAGGAGAGATGCACCACATGCTGTGTAGGAGATGACACAAAGTAGCCGGCACTTTCTATCCCTCCAGTAATGATATGAAGAGGAAACTCACATTTCCCCCAGTGGAAAGGCACACCTGCCCCCGCAGTAACTTTCACATGTCCCGGTTTGGGGAAATAAGCAAGCATCTCATCTGTTTTGCATGACAGGAGTAGCATGGAAAGAGAAGCATGAGAAGAGTTGTTTGCAGATTCTGTTGCCACTTTCTTACAGTGCACAAAAGACGGACCCTAAGAGATGAGTTGTGTGCATGTATTTATAATACATGCGAACATGCACAAGCAATTTAAATGGTGCTGTTAATTTTTAAGGAGACAAGTTTTCAAAGATTATTTTGCTTTCCTGCTGCAATTCTTGAAATGCATGAGGAACCATAAACTTTGGTGCAGCTGTTTTTTGCCTTTAATGACAGGTTTTAACATCTACAGGGGCTTTTTGAGGAGACTCTTGAGGCCTGGGACATCAGCAGCAATGTATCTTTTACTACCTCCTACCTCAAGCTACTTCAAACAGGGGCCTATTTCAAGCACAAGGGATGGAGCGCAGCCCCTTAACCATCCCATGCAGTCAGCTCTTGAGAAGGAAATGATCTGAAAAGTGCCAGGCCATGCATAGATGGCATACCTCTGGACGGCAACCAATAAGCTGTGATCTCAAAACCTGCTGTCTCCATCGCCTATCCAGGAGCCACAAGTAAAGCTCCCCAGATACTAACGAGTATAGAAAATGGCCAGGTGTTTCTGCTGCTCAGTATGGATCTTTCTGGTCTGCTTCAAATTAATAGGGAGGGACTTTCCTTTGGGGATTGTGAAGGAGTTTTAGAACATTTGATCAGCAGGAGTTTGTCAGAACAGTTTCCACACTGGTGCTTGGTCTATAAGAACTTGCTTTTACCAGGAGAAGAGCAGAGAGGTGCAGCCACCAATTTAAAGTGGGCCAAAATAGATTTCCTCCCAAGAACACAAAATCTACAGATCATCAAGTGGCTTGATGAAGGCAATTAACAGGAGATGATTTGGTCTGGCGTTCTGTTACAGGCATGGCATAGCTGTGCTTTGTTTACCGTACTACTTGGATTCTTGGACACTGTGACCTGGTTTGCACAGGTTGTCCCCCACCAAGGCAGCCGCTCCCACCAGCCAGGGTGTGTGGTGTCCATCTAGTCCAGCATTCTCCTCATGCAGTGGCCAACCAGCTGAACACGGGAAACCCACAAGCAGAACTCGAGTGCAACAGCACCTCCTGGCCATGTTTGCCAGCGATTTGCACTGCCTGACTGGGACTGCAGTGCTGAGGAATCCATCAGACACCTTGGCAGGCCACAAGACAGGGCTGGGGAGCAGTGTTAGACCTTCTGGATAGCAAGTGGGGTTGAGCAAGCCTGCCCGTTTTCCTTTCTGCCTTATTAGAATGTTTTAACTCTCAAGGTCATTCTCTCTTGAATGTGAACTTCGCCAATTTTGGCAAACTATTATTTTTTTTTAAAAGAACAGAAACTTAATTCTCACTCATCTTCACCAGCAGAATCCAACAGGTTATTCCCAGCACTTAGACTGTTTGTACCTGTCTGCCATATAGCTCTTAACAATGAAGCAGCACTTAAATGGGACTGCCAATCATTACTGGTATTAATATTTTTATTATACATCTATGAACCACCTTTTTCTCTCTTGCAAGGAACCCAGGGTGGCTTACAAGGGTCTTCTCCTCTCCATGTTATCCTGTGAGGCAGGCCAGGCTGAGAATCAGCCCAAATCACTCAGTGAGCTTCAAGGTTGAGTGGAATTATCAGGCATTCACACGAATGAATGCGCATGGATTCATACCCTGCCTTTTAAAAGTAAAGTACTGAAAGCACTGGATGGCTCAGTCTGTCAATTTAGGTGTTTCCCATTTTTTAAATCCCAAATGGGATTTTTAAAATTAATTTAATTATTTTTAATTAATTAAATTAATTTTTTAATCGTGCCCCAAATCAGGATAACATTTTGAATTTTGGCAAATCCTTATCAAAATTAAATTGATCCCTCATCTCAAGCTGTGTAGACCTGGTGAAGCCATACCCATTCTTCCAAGCTTTAAATCTTACAGACTGAAGTTCTTACCAGAGGCAGATCCATGATAAAGTTGTAGGCGTTGGCATCTTTGGCTGCCTTAATGATGTCTTCCAAGGTTGCATCTTCCCGACCATAGCGGATGTTCTCTGTAATGGTGGTAGCAAACAGAACTGGCTCCTGTTCAACGATGCCAATCAAAGATCGCAGCCACTGGATATTAAGTGAGCGGATGTCGTGTCCATCTAAAGTAATCTACACAACAACATTAGTTTGTTGGAAGACACTCACAACGCTTTCTTTAGTTACATTTCATGTTCAGTGCATCCAGCTGTGTGCATAATGTCTACAGACAATGGCCTAATTCACAAACAATGCTAAATGATGGCTTGTTGTCCTACCCAGGGTTTGTCTGGCAGATGATCAAACAAGCCATTAGTCGATTTATTTGTTCAGCTGTCCCCCCCCCCCCCCCTTTTGTCTTTGCAGCACTTGAATACTGGCATGTAGAGCAGTTGCTGTTCCATGTTTTTTGTTTTTACTGCTTTTGTCTGCCATGTCTGTAGCCTGGCAACATAAGAACAACCTTCAGTTCTGGGATTGTGGGGAACAACAACTCATAGTTTGGACAACCTACAGTACAAAAACCAATCACAAAAATGGGTTCTCTTTTTGGATTGTTCCATGGTTAAATTAAGACAAAAGTTTGTTATCATGGCCATGTTCAAACATCATGAAACCCAGGTATCGGCAACCTATACCATGGGTTATAGCATTCTGTATCAACCTGACAGTTATTCAGACTCACAGAAGAGGCTTGTGTTAGTTCAGTGGAATTTTTCACTATTTTCTTTGATCCCTCACCCCAACACATATTGTAAATTACTTCTAAAAGTTCCCTCCATTTCAAAAGTAGTCTGCCTTTGGCGCTGCCCTTTGAGAAAAATGAGTCGACAATAATGCTTCCTCAGATTAATAGAACTAGTTTCAGAGTTCTTTAGATTCTGAGTGGTATATTTATATATATATAAACCCAGACTTCCCCATAGAAAGCCTCTACACAGTCTTGAATGAACAGTATTTCATCTCCTATCCAAAACCTAAATGCAAAATATAAAGATCAGTCCCACTGAAATCAGTTGACAGCCTTCTAAGAAAGTGTGCTTACGATTGTTAGGAGATTAAGGTAGTGCCTTACAGATCCAAAGGGTGAGGAGTTACTTTTTCCTAGATATTTTAGTCCAAGTTCAGACTGTGTAATTTTCCATAAGAATTTCATTCACCCATAGAAATCAAATATTAGAATTTAGAGCATCAGAAATGACAAGTATTTCAAAATATATTTATGGTTTGGATCTGCCTCTCCCAAAAGGAAGGGCTCACTCATGGAAAGTCCCTCCACCCAGTTTTTGGGGACCCCTTTGCTCTCATACCACAGCTCACACCATTCAACAGTGGCTCCCAATGTGTAGCATTTTAATGAGGCTAAAAGCAAAGGGAGGCAGCAGAGATTTCTGCATCCATCAGTTGATCCAGTAGAAACCTGGATCCAACCCTCAGAGTGTAAATCTCGTCCAATTCAGTGGTTCCTTCAATTCCTTATTCTGGTTGCAAAGCTATTCCCTTCATACAACAGTGAAAGAGAGAAAGATGGACCATGCACTTTTGATAATGCTAGTGATGTGTATCAACTTCCTAAGGCACATTTCTGCATGTTGGAGTGTATCAGCCTAGAATTCAAAGACATTTTCTATCTTCAATTGGCTGCATGCACATCCCTCAAATCCAAGCCATGACTTGCAATGGGATATCTTATAAATATTTAAGCCAAGTCACGTCTACTTGATACATATACCCATGGACCCATGGAGCATATTTTTTAATGTTTCAATTCTGTTACTTATTTTAACTCTGAACTGTTCACTGCTCCAGAATCAACTCCAATGTGGAGCAGTATGCACATGTAAATAAATAAATACATAAATAAATAAGACAAATAAGAGACAGCTTAATGGCAAATGGGCTGTTTATCTTCTGCGAAGCACAGCTACACCCACTGCAGAACAAGATTATGGTTTGGGATTCTTCAGATTAAAATCAAGTGGCAACTCCCCTATGAACAAATTAAGCAGTGTTCTCACCATGCCTTCCTTAGGGTCATAGAATCGCTGAATAAGCTGCACTGTAGTACTCTTCCCAGCTCCACTAGGGCCTACGAGAGCCGTCGTTTCTCCTGACTTGATAATCATGTTGAGTTTGTCTAAAGTCTAGAAATTAGGAAGAAGACGCCATTTTTGGAAAGCATCTGCCTTGGTGCTTGCAACCACAAACAGAGGCAGGTGCAATGCTCCAGCAGCAGGGAAGTGCACTTACCTTGACGTCAGGTCTGGATGGGTAGTAGAATGTTACATTATGGAATTCAATTTCACCCCGGACTTTATCCAGTTTGTAGCCATCCTCTGACATGCAATCAATGGTAGGTTTCTGGGGTAGAGCCAATGAGTTACATTACTTGTTTTAGCTTTCTGAAGAAAAGTCTTTTTTAATTGCACTCATTGTACAGCACATGCAATCCCCCAGACCCTCCCCTATAGGAAAGCCTCTTTCTCCTTCACCATGCCCAGTGTTAGGCAGGTGGGGAACCTCGAGAAGGGCCCACAGCCCTGTAGGGCCCTTGACTTGCTCCTTCTCATCAACATTATTATGACTACAAACCAGCTTGTTCACCTGCCTTTCTGCTCTGGCCCAGACAAGAAGGAGATGGTGAGAAGAAGGAGCAATAGGTGCTTTTCCTGCTTGCTCACTGGCTCTCCATTTGACAAGCAAGCAAGCAAGCAAGCAGGAGCAATAAGAAAAGGAGAAGGAGCAAGAGCAGCCACTGGCAAAAGTGAAAAGGTAGACTTACAGTGGGAAGAAACCCATTTAGGGCAATTTGCCAAAGAACTATTAAATATGTAGAGCCTGAATTCCATCTGCCCCTTGCACCACTTAGGCTTGCCCCCCAAAATGGTGGTGCGATGCCCCATCTCCTTCTTCTTTCTGATCCCTCATCAAATCCACCTGGTACTGAGGAAATAAAGAGCCATCACATCCAGCAGCTGAAGAGCAGACTGAGCAGGTCACAGCTTTCCAGTACAGTAGTACCTCGGTTCACGAACTTAATTCATTCCACGACTCTGGTCACGAACCGAACTGGTCACAAACCGAGTCAAATTTCCCCATAAGGTTCAATGTAAATAAGGTTAATCCGTTCTGAACCATAACTTTATAAAGGACAGCATATAAAAGTTTTAAATAACTAAATATGTATTTTTTTTAAACCACAAAAATATGAGCCTCGTCCCCGGGCTGCGAGCCAAGCCGGGCCGCCTTGCTGAGCCTGGGGATAGATGGGCCAACGTGGAGCGGGAGTGGGGCCATGGCTCCCGTACCTCCGCTGTGGCCTTTTCAGGGCAAGCAGCCGCCATACTTCTTCCCCCCGTGGCAGGGAGAGGTGGGAGGCACCCCGCTCAGCCACCCATGGCCCTGTCCCTCGTCTCCCCTCACCTCGGCCCACAGAAAGCAGCCTCTACCTCCCTCCTTGCAGCCCTCTCCCAGCCAGGGGAGCCATCCCGCGCCTGCCTCTCCAGCCTCTGGCTTCTGCTCCCGCTCCTGGAGCTGGGCAAGTGCCTGCAAGGAGACCTTCCTCCGGCTCGGAAGTGGGGTGGCGGCGAGGAGCTGGGAAGGCCTCAACTGAGGCTCCCCCTTGTGTTGTGCTCTCCCTTTTGGCAGGTGGCGCACTGTCATCTTGAGCTTCTGCTGCAGCCCGAATTGTTTGCGAACAGAAGTGTTCTTGAACCAAGGTATTACTGTATATTTAAGATGTATGCTATTCCCATTTAAATCAGCATAATTCTGTTTAAATTTGGATTGACATATGTAACAGCATATGCACATTTATAGAAACCAACAACCTCTTTGCCTTACTTTTTGGTGATTTGTAAGTGGCCATCCTAAACTGCCCAGTCTTCACACCTTCCTTTAATCAGGACTAAGTGTATGTTCCTGAAATAACCACATACTGGAGAGCCAGTTTGGCGTGGTGGTTAGGAGCCCAGGACTGGGTCTCAGGCAATCCGGGTTCTACTCCCCGCTCAGCCCTGGAGCCAGCTGGGTGACACTGGATCAATCACAGACTCTCAGTCCAGCCTACCCCACAGGGTTGTTGTTGTGAGGATAAGACTGAGAGCAGGAGGAGGAGAATTATGGAAACCATCTTGAGTACCATGCAAGGAAAAAGGTGGAATTATAAATAATAATATTCTTCCCCACTTTTGCACCATGCTAAGATGTAAAACAGTAGAGCACTTCAGTCTTCCGCAGAGGTCATTGGTTAGAGTTGCTGGAGATGCCAGCCTTTCTATTACCTGAAGCTTTGGGAACCCTGCACATGCTCGTTTCCTTATCTGAGCCTTTGGCTTTACCACCCATCTTATGATCGAGTGCAGCTGCGATGGTGGATCACCTCACTGCCTTCCAGTAGCAATTCCTGAAGATCAGGCTGCTTATAGAGTGGGGACCTAATTGATAAATACCAGGACTTGGTGATGCTTTGAATATTCACAAGGAAACCATTCAGAAGCGTCATTTGGATGAATGTACTCTTTGGAAATGCGCTGGCATGGTGGTGTTTTGCTTTAATTTGCAAGCATTTTTCTCTTTAATCACCATAATAAGTCTCCTTTGCACTGTTGACAGAAGCCTATGCTACTTTTCCTCATATATTTCTTCCCATTAAGCAGGATAGCAGCATGGATGCATGTCGTTACTCACTTTATCTATAGTTTCAAAAATATTTGTTGCAGCCCCTCGGCCTGTTGCAAATGCTTCCAAACAAGGGGAAGCTTGGCCAAGATTTAAGGCACCTACTAGAACGCCGAAGAAAACCTGAAAGGCACAAAGGGAAAAGCAATTATGTTTCTTACATTTATCATTTCTAAAAACTGCTTTGGCATGGAAACTAAATTATAATTAAAAGTGGTGGAAGCCATAAGAATATTTCTGCAGGGCAGACAAATGCTTTGATTCTCTGAAAAACACTAAAGAGGGTACAAAGCCATGATTTCCATATCTGAAGACAACAATGCACTTAATAGTGGAGTGGGTGTTTTTTTATTTTAGAGAGCAACCCTGCTGCTCCACAAACCAAAGGATGGCTCAGAAAACGGCTTCAAAGGTTGGAGAGAGTGCTGAACCCTCGGAAGGGAGATGGGTGGAGATCTGAAGATCTGCCAGGTCTTGACTTTGGCCCTCCCCTTCTTCCCCTAAGGCTTCAAAATGCCAGCCAGTCTCTTTGCAATGCAGATCTTTATTGGCACCTCACAGTCACAAGACAAAACAACTCTAAAAGCCCTCTAGTAAGCGACTATAAGGCTCTTATATAAAAGAGTGTTGAACCCAAACTGGGAGCTTCTCCCCAAAATCCTTCCCTTTCAGTAATTCTGTGGCTCCACTCTCAGGGTGGTGAAGGCCCAGCTGGCGAGAACTACACAAGCCCTCTCTCTAACTGGGTAGTTTGTCTCTCCTGCTGCCTGCCATGGGACCAGGGACCGGGCAGGCAATGGCTCTCCCTCCTCCCCTTCTTGGACCCGAGCACCTCTTCCAAAACATCTCTGCTTTCCTGATTGGCCAAGGAACCTGTGGAAGTTCCATTTCAGTGAAGACTAAGCTTACTCAGTAGCCACAGAATGGGGGCTGCGGGAAGTGGAGTGGGGGGAGGGAGGAAAAACGTGGCAATGAGGGTGGAATGAAGTGTCCTGGAGAAGGGCACGGCTCTCTAGCTGCAAGCCTGAGCAGGTCCATTCCACACTGCACTATCTAGCTTCAAGTCCCAGTTCTTTATGCTGCAAAAACATTGACAGCTGCCTTCCAAGCAAGAGTTGATTTTAAAGGGTTTTTTTCCCCTTTTCTCCTTTATCATGCAACCCCTTAAAGCCTCTTATGCTAAACTCCATCCCAGTGCAGGAAGTCCTGCAACTCTTGGGGCAGCTTTTGGGAGCACAGCATGCTATGGGAGGGTGGGAAGCCCTTTTTCCGTGGGCAGATATTCCATTCAGTTTTTGGTTTCACACGAGTAGCTATAGCAATGTACTCAACATGGGCCCAAGAGCCAGCACCACCACCACCTTCAAGGGAGAGATTTCTTTCTCTAATATGCATGCAAGGATGAATTTCATGGTTTATAAATAGTGACTGTAGGTCAGAACTATGAGTTGGCCAGAAGCAAAAGTGCTCCAGAGAGTTCCACTCAGGCCTCTTTCTAAATGCCTTTTCATGCTCAAAGGCAAATGGGGGGAAGCCATAAAAATCAGTTACCTGTAGAAGCGTACCAGGAGAATACTCCTCCTCCTCAAGGACAAGTTTTGAGCCATACCAGAAGGCTAGCGCATAGCACAGGAAAATGGTGAGCCAGATAAAGCCAGTGAAAAATCCCATTATCATTCCTTTTCTAATTCCCTGGGCTTGGGCATACACTAGATTTTTGTCATATCTGTGAAAAGAATAAAAAGGAATACTCAAAAGGTGCACTTGAGAAAAAAGTAAAATGAAGATGAATAACATTAAGGACAGGTAGTTCCCAAATTACGAATGTCTGAGTTACAAACAACTCAAAACCAACTGACATAAACCCTATTAATTTAAAAATGCAGAAAATTGTCATCACCATAGAGAGAGGGGGGAAGCAAAAGGGAATTTCAGTTTTCTCAGGAACAGAACTCATTCCTAACCTGGGAGCTGCTTGTACAGTTATGAATGAGTTCTGCTCCTGAGAAAACAGAAATTCTTCTTTGCATTGAATTTATATGCAAGTTGGATCACACCTAGGTGGCCCTCCACATGCACAGGGGCCAGAGGCTCAGGACCCCCATGAAAGTGGAAAACCCACACATATCTCTACCTGCTCCCCTGCCCAAGCTCACCAGCACCTCCTCTTTGCAGCAAGAAAATATCAGACAAAAGGCAGATTTTGGAGGCCTCCCTTGCTTCCCTTTTGCTTCCGCTCTCTCTCTCGTGATTACAATTTTCCACAGTAATTTTTTAAAAAATTAATAGGCTCAAGGGCAGTTCATTCGTAAGCATGGGTTGTTCATAACTTGGACGTTTGTAACTCAGGGACTGCCTGTACAGAGTTTGGAGTCAGACTGTTGCGTGAGGTGAGGGTGTGTGCTACGGGTGCAGCCGCTGGAGCTTTTGCATGCAAAAGTTTGCAGATTCAGTCCCTGGGAAGGCTGGGAAAGACTCTGCTCTGAAACCCTCCAGAGCCATTGCCTGTCAGTGGGGAACTGCAGGTATCTACTTCTTTCAGCCGAAGCATCAGACTTAATTCTGGAGATAATGGTTATTACAACACTGGAAAGATAGACTCCTTCCTCCATTAGCACAAGGGACTGAAAAGCCTAACAATACTTTCAACATTTAAATGAGTGTTGTACAGACGCCACTTGAGAATGAGCACACAGATGAATATTTGTGTTGCCTTTGTTAGAGCACCAGTATATTTTTAATTCTTTCTCAAGAAAGTTGTATCTTCTATGGTGTGTGTGTGTATGTGTACACACACCCCTCACTGTGCCTGACCTACATCAGAAGAGAACATCTCTGTGGACCTAACCTAAATCTATGCCATGTAACAAAAGCTCATTTTCAGCTGTTGCAATTTGTTTATACTCATATTCAACACTGGAGCAAAACAAGATATACACTGCCTAGTTCTCTTTCTATAGCTTGATTGTTTAAGCCTCTGAGCCAACCTTGATAATATAAACCAACCTTTCAACCTCTTTTCTTTCTCCTCCAAAAGCAGCCACTGTTCTGATGGATGAGAGTACTTCATCAGCCACGGCTCCAGCTTTTGCGTAAGCCTTTAATTCTAGACCTGTCATCTTTGCCACAGCCTAAAAGAAATCAGCCAGCAGAAGCATTATAGCAGGAAAGGGTTTCTTCCATGCATTTTACACTTAGGACCATCTCCTTGGATATTATTCAATGGTGGTGCAACATTAGCACTGAGGGTATTTCTGTGTTACATTCCTAGGGCCAACCAAGGTGGTTTAGAAAAAAATGAAAACAAAAAAAGCAAAATAGTAAGCAGAATATAGCAACACACTGAAAACCATAACAATGGCTTTAGATGCTGAGTTAAAAAGATGTATCTTGAACTCTTCCTAAACACAGAGGAAGTGGGGACCCCTTGCAAGTCCACAGGAAGCACCTTCCAGAGTCTGGGAGGAACAGATGAGCAAGGCCCTTCCCACACACCTGCATCTCTTCTAGCAAAGGGACCTTCGAAAGGGCCTCTCTTACTCATCCTAGCTGAGCTCATACTAAGACAGTCTCAGATAGCCAAGCCCTCAGCTTTTAGGTCTTTAAAGATTAACACAAGCACCTTAAACTGAGCCAGGAAAACAGCTGACAACCATCACAATCTTTCAGTATTGGAGTGGTATGTTCACAGTACATGTAGCAGTCAGCAACCAAGCCTAGCTGCTTGGTTTTCAACCAGCTGAAGCTTCTGCACCCTGTTGAAGGGTAGCCTCACAGAGATCATATTGCAACAGCCTAACTGTGATGTAACCAAGGCGTGGATAACAGGTACCACCCGATCAGACTGAACCCAGAACATTCACAACTGGTGGACTGTGCATAGTGCAAAGGCACACAAGAGATACTTGTGGGAATGTCACTGTGCTAGCATAGATCAACATCATTAGTGCGAGTGTTGCACCACAATTAAATAGTTAGTCTTTTCTGTTCAGCATGGAATGAATGTATATATTTATAAAGGCATATTGATTCAGTACATTCATTGTTTTGCTCATTTTACCCACTCGAAATCTTACGTAATGAACTGCCAGATCCCATTTCAGGGTGATATATAGTAGCTAGGTATATTTTGGGCAACAATCCCTCTGTCTATCTACTTTTCTCTAGGGCCAATTGTTTATAATGTTGGAAATGTTATACAAACATAAGCAAACTACTTTTTCAATATAAGGGGTTGATCTTATGAGCAATTTAACACATAAAATAATGAGATTGTGCCTTTGAAGAACCATTTTTTCAAGGATCCTTCTAACTTAATGAAGAACTTCTATACAGACGAGGATGAAAGAGACTGTATTAAAAGGTTGCTTTCCACAGAGACAGACTGGAAAGACGACAGCCTGAAACCCTGCCAGTAAGTGACAGGGTTCATACAACCCCCCCATGCATCATGGGTTCTTACCCACAAGGGGCTATCATGTCCCGATAACCAAGATGGTTTCCCACAGGGTGGTTTCTTGTGGGGATAAAGCCACTTGGAAAACCCAAATGTTGTTCAAGGAGAAGCTGTACAGATGATGAATTGCTGTGCTGTCCAAACCCAGGCAACATGGGTTCATGAAGACAGGAAGCAGCTAGCAAGCTGTTTGGCAAGAGTGGCAAAACTCTTGGCCACTCTTGCCAAGCTTTCCATGGCAGTCAGCACTGCCAACCAACCACGAGTGTTGAAACAGCACTTGGAAAAAGCTGGTAAGGGCCTGTGGTTCTTCCACTGTGATCACAAACTGTTTTGAGCTCTCCAGGTTCCCTGCTCCATTTACCCTTCTTCCCTGCAGAGCTGTGAAAGCTGTTTGACAGTCCCCATGTGGACAGCTAGTGAGGGCCCCTTCAAAGTGCCTGTGTGGCACTTTGGAGGGGTTGTGAGTGGCTGGTAAACTTATTTTTAAAGCTGGACACATTGTATATACATGTTCGTTAAAAGTAGCCGCACTCATGAAGCCATAGACATCTAGAGTTCTATGAGAGTGAAAATGTGAAGCCTCAGATGGATCAGTGTCCTGGGGGTGCAGGCCGCTATTGGCTGCCAAAATTCTTGGAAGAAGAAAAAAATCTTGGAAGGGGAAAAAAGTGGAATATCAATATTAATTAATCAATAATAAAATACACCAGGTACCAGCCATGGACACTGACTCAGTGAGGCTCCAAATAGGCTTTCCCCTTGTTTTCTCCTGGCAACTGTTGAAAAGCAAGCTGTCAAGGGAAATCAAAGGCCTTAGCTCATGAAAAAGAGATAGTTATTTACAGCAGCTTCACAGCAAAATCCTCTTTGTTTGATTTTTACCCTGACAGTGGCTGCTCAATAATAATGTGGGTTTCTATGTATGTGTGGATATATTTCCCACACCCTTAAGGTTGCATCCAGTTCTGTCCACCCACAGTGAAACAGCGCCTGTCAGCCATATAAATTCCTGCGCATCCCCCCAAATTTGCTCTGGGAGGCTGGGGTGCCTGGGTGAGAAGGGCAAGGGGATGTACAGGCAGAAATCCACTGGATGTTGCTCTAAAGGCCAGCGACAAACATCCAGCTGGTTTTACCAAGGCTCTTGACTTATCTGTTTGGTTTTGGAACTACAGAGAGCACCGTGGAAAAGCAATGAATAGACGTGAAACAGGTATCTATATATTTTTAAAAGTAGTAAATAGTTCCTCACCAGGCCCATTATGGCAGCTCCAATCCCAATTAGTGGACTGACGGCAATAATAACCAAGCTCAGTTTCCAGCCTCTGACAAATCCTAACAGGAATCCACAAACAAAGGTGGTGAAGCGCTGGATAAAGATTGATGCTTGATCAGCAATAGCATCATTTATTTTATTAATGTCACTGTGGAGAACAAGAAAAGTTGAAGCAGCAAGTAGCTTTTGCCTTCATTACTCCTCCAGATGTTCATTCAATTGGTCGTTCCTTCCTACATCAGAGAAATCTTGGGATGACATCGTGCCTCATTCTGGAATCATCTGCACATTCTCTAAACTAGCTCGTTCCCCTTGTGGATGATGGAGGATACAGTCCATCCCCAGCACTGGAGAAAACTTCACCTACCAGCCCGGTCAGTTGCTGTGCATGGACCAGGAGTGGGCGCCATCTTGCTCTTTGCTGCTGGCAGCACAACAGCTTCAGCCACCATGAAAGTTCTCCCTCCAAAATTCAACCTGCATTGCTCCTCTTGCCCCTGCTCTGCATCTCCTTAATTTATTTATTCTTTATTGTCATTAAAGGTATAAACCATGTCTATAGCCCTCCATGGGCTCTCTGGGCAGTGAATAGTTCCACTATAAAGCCAACCATAAAACAAATAAACCCCATAAAATAATATGATATAGACATCTACATAGATTCAACTAAAGATTGAACAGGCATAGTTGCATAAAATCATCAATTAAAATTCACAAATATACTGTATATAACAGTGGAGCCAAAATACTAGTAATGAAGGCACCAGACAGATTTCTTTGGGGAGCCTATATTAGGCACAGGGCACAACCACTGAAAAGGCCCTCCTTTTGTTTGCCATCCCCCTGACCAATTTGAGGGATGGATGTTTAAGAAGGACCTCTTACCCAGATCCTAGTGAATGGGTACCTATGGGAGCAGGCGGTCCTTCGGCTATCCTGGTCCCAAGCCATTGAGGGATTTATATGTTCAATACAAGCAAACACTTTAAATTGGACCTGGACCTCAACTGGTAGCCAATGCACATGGTATAAAACTGGCGTAATAATATAGCCGATCATATCATATTTCAGCCATGCTCCTTGCCCAGGAGAAAAGGAGGGAGAAGCTTTTGTATGGTGGTTAGTGACAGGAAGGCATGCTCTCAGCAAACACTTTCAGCCTGTGAAAATGGCTGGCCAGGTGGCAGAGCAACCTCAGGCACTTCTGCTCGTCTAGAAGGATATGGAAGTGACACCTCTGCCTCATGCTGCACGTGATTCCACCACCCAGTCCCGCCAAGTGCATGCCCGCTTCTGCCCAGCCTCTCTTGCATGTTTATGTGCTTGCCGTGCAGGGCTGCTCCAAGACATGCTTATTATTTATCGATTTATTTATTGTATTTATATCTCACCTTTTTCCTTTCAAGGAACTCAAAGCAGCTTACCTAATGCTCCTCCTATCTCAAGCTTATCCTCACAACAACAACAACCTTGTGAGGTAGGTTGGGCTGAGCAGCTGTGGCTGGCCCAAAGTGAGCTCCATGGCTGAGTGGGGACTACAACCCGATTTGTCTGAGTCCCAGCCCCACACTTTTAACCACCCCACCACACTAGGACTGCCTGAGCAGCAGCAGCAGCAGCAGCAGCTACAGCTGCTTCCCACCCACCCAAGTACTCACTCCTTCGTGACACCCAAAATTTGCTGCTTAAGGTGTCTGCTTCACTCCACTGAGGAGTAGGCAACTTTGGAGGGTGTGACAGCTATTTTGGTCCCTCTGCCCTCCCAGGATGCATCCTGTGGGTGCCAGAGGGGAAGAAACTATTGGTTTTTGGGAAACCATTGCGAAAGCCTAAAATATCGCTTGTTTTCAAGTGAGATTGGTTCATGTTGGTTTCTGCAGAAATAGCGAACTGCCATGGAAGGCTGAAACGGACCAATCTCACTTGAAAACAAGCAAAATTTGGATGCTTTAGATATCCTTAACTTACTCAACAGTGAGCTGCCCATCTTTTTGCCTGCACTGCAAATTTTGTAAAGGTCATGTGTTGGCCACTGCTGTTCCACCTAACGGTGCACCAGGCCCGCTACTGTGGTCTTCTTGACATCATGCAAACACACATGATGGAGGACAATCCCCGGGGGCAGGAAGCTGAAAGTGCCACTTACTTGTTTGTCATCTGTTGTTCTCAGAATCAGCCTTTGCCTACTGAATTGCCTCCTGCAGGCCTGTGGCTGTTACATGCTGTCCTTTCATCCCTGACTTGTGGTGACCCTATGGATGAGTGGCCTCCAAAGTGGCCTTGAGAGACCTTCCAGGGGCAAATGTTTGAGCAGCCCAGTGGACTTTCTAGAGCCAAACCAGTTCGGCAAGCATAGCCTTGCACAGCCTGCTCACTGGGCTGCAGAGTCTTAAAAATACGCCAGCATGCGGTGGCATCAATGCAGATGCAGATTACTCACTCAGAAATGCGTGTATTGAGCTCCCCCACTGAGGTGCAGTCAAACCAGCCAATTTCCATCCTCATTATTTTCCTGAAATAGGTTTTCCTGATTCGCTGTGTCTGACGAGCAGCTGCTATTACCCATAAGCAAATCTGGAAAGAATGGGGTGGTGGAAGTCATAATGTAAACAAGAAGAACTTGCCATCCACAGCTAAGCATCATAGAAACATTGACTGCTGGCAGTAGAATTTGCACTGATTTTATGCCTTCTGCAACAGTAAGAATGTAACGAGCCATATGGGGTCAGAACAAAGGCCCACCTCATCCAGCATTCTGTTGCCACAGCAACCAGCCAGATGCCCCAGTGGGAAGGCCACAAGCAGGACACGGTGGCAATTGCCCCCTCCTGCTCTTGTTCCTCAGTGACTAACATTCAGAGGACTATCGTGACTCTGATTCTGGAGGTAGCCATCATAACCAGCAGCCCTCAGCTCTGTGCTTCCACAACTTGTCTAACTGCCTTTTTAAGCCATCCAAGTTGGTGGCCATCACTACATCACTGAAGATTCTATTAACTGATTTTTAAATTGGTTTAAGTATCTTCTTTGGTTATATCACCTGGACAGGAGCAGATACATCCAGACTATTACAAACATAAGAACAGCCCTGCTGGATCCAGACCAGTGGCCCGTCTGTTCCAGTATTTTGTTTACCTGTGGCAAGCCAGCTATCCACAAGATCCCACAAGCAAGGCACAAGGGCCACAGCACCCTCCTCTCCAAGTTCTGCAGCAAGTGGAGCGCATATGCATAGTTGCCTCTGCTACTGTAGGTGACATACAGCTGTCAAACTAGCTGTCTCTTCCATGAATGTGTGCAATCCCCTTTAAAGCCATCCAAAGGGATGGGCATCACCTTGTGGATAGCTTCATAGGTCCTAGTATGTGGTGATGGCATATACAATTTATAAGTAAATAAATAGTATTATGTGAGATGGGGAAAATTGTCTCCTCCACACTGCACACCATACATAATTATATACATCTCTATCATATATTTCCTTACTCAGCTTTTTCTAAGCTAAACAATCTCAGCTATTGCAACATTTCCTCACATTGGAATTGCTCCAAACCCTTGATCATTTTAGTTGCCCTTTTCTGCACTTTTCCCAACTGTACAATATTCTTTTTTGGGGTCTGGTTAGGGATACCAGAACTGTACACAGTATTCTGAGTGCAGTTTGTGTAAGGCTAGTATACCTTTAGCAGTTTTATTTTCAGTGCCTTTCCTAACAGTGTCTAATAAGGAGTTTGCTTTTTTCCCAGCAGTGATGACCTGGTCAACATTTTAAGAGCCCTTTCTCAGTCAGTCACCACTAGCTGAGTTACCATCAGCTTATATTTGAAGTTGGGACATCTTGTCCCAACGTGTATTACTTTATACTTACTTACACTGAACCACACTTACTATTTTGAGACCCTTTCTCCCAGTTTGAAGAGATTCCTTTGGAACTCCTCACAATCCCTGTTGTTTTTAGCCTCCCTAAATAGGCCAGTGTCAGCCGCCACTGCTCACTCCTAGTTCCAGATAATTTATGAGTGAGTTGAAAAGCATTGGTCACAGTATAGATCCTTGAGGACCCCACTGTTTATAGCCTTCATTGGGAGAAATTGCCTTTTTTTACTCTTCACTTTCTGTTCTTTAACTAATCACTAATCGTTAAGAGGACCTCCCCTCCTATTCCATGACCGCTAAGTTTGCTTAGGAGCCTTTGGTGAAGGACTCTGTCAAATATTCTTGGAAGTCCTAGTAAACAATGTCAACTGGATTACTCCTGTCCACGTGTTTATTGACACTCTCAGAGGATTCAGAAAGGTTAGTGAGACAGGATTTACCTTTGCAGAGGCCAGGTTGATACTTTTGTAGCAAGGCTTGTCTTCTATATCTTTACTATCTTTAATAATGCTCTTAACTCATTTACCAACAACAGACATTAAACTAACCTGCTTGGAATTTCCTTACCTGGCTGCATCCAACCCCCTTTTAAAAAATGATGTTACACTGGCTATTCTCCAGTCCTCTGTTACAGAGGCTCATCTTAGGGATGTGTTACATATTTTTGTAAAAAGGTCCGCAATTTCATGTTTAAGGCATGAAAGAACTCTAGGATGGATACTATGGTCCTGGTGATTTATTAACTTTATATGTCAATAAGGGTGAGAACATCATGTTCTATCAGCTCTATTTGTCTTAGTTCCTCAAATTCTTTTCTGGAATACATAAGTTCAGGAACAGGCATCTTTCCTGAATCCTCAGCTATGAAAACAGATGAAAAGCATTCATTCAGTTTTTCTACAATCTCCCTATCCTCCTTTAGTACTCCATTAACACTGTTACCATACAATGATCCAACTTTTTTCTAGCTGTTTTTTTGGTTTGGATATATGCAAAGATTTCTTTACCATTGGCCTTATTACCTGCTTATTATCATCTTTATTCAAGCTTGTGATTCTATCTGTTTTCCTCATGTAGGCAAAACTTCTGTTTTCTAAAGAATGTCTTATTTTCTTGATGACCTTCCTTGATACCACTGCTTAACCAAAGCAGCGATCTCTTGAACTTCACGCTAACTTTCCTAACTTGTGGTATGCATGCAAGTTATCTCCAAGCATTTTGATGGGATTTAAGCCTGTTGACTCCTCTTTCAACTTCCTTGTTACCACTTCCTACATTTTAGAGAAGGTTCCTCTTTTGAAATCAAACGTGACTAAACTGCACCCCTTTGCAATCTTCCACTTAAACATATATTAAGTCTGATCACACCATGGCCACTGCTTCCAACTGGTTCAACAGGATTTAGCTTTTGTACTAGTTCCTCGGTAACTCTACCCAGGATTAAATCCAGGATTGCTTACCCTCAGATTGGTTCCATGACCAACTGCTCGAGGGCACAGTCATTTAGGGCATCAAGAAATTTAACCTCTTTGTTAGAACTAGGACATATATTCATTCGGTCACCCTTATTACAATTTATTACACCCTTATTAAAATTACAAAGTTGAGGCCACCCTGACTTCATTTTTCATCTCAAGCATGCAGAGCATTCTGGTCTGGAGGACAACAACATGTACATACAACTAAATATTTGTGGAATTGCCTGGATAGAGTTATCTATAAACACACGCATTTGCACACAACACACTCATAGATGTGATGATGATCTGCCTGAGTTTACACCTCATTTGGTGGAACTTGTGCCAACAGGGAATAACCTTAACCTTGCACTTAAACCATCAGGTCATTTTCTCACTGAATTTCCTCAGTTTTAAAAAGGAAATTTATTACAGTGTTCTGTAAAAGAAAACAAGAACACATGATACAAAATATAAGCAAGTCATTAACTGAGTAGATGTGTACAAATGAACACACACACCCCAGCATGTTCAGAACAGCTTACGTCTGAGTAAGCTTGCACAGGATTCTTGCATTGCTTTTTCTTACTCTTCTTTCTCTTCACCCATCAAAATTATTCCCCCAGCATTAAAGATCACCTCACCCTGATCTCAGCTGATAGATTCCTGCTACTCTCCCCCGGTGTCAGAATGCCAAAAAGAACCATGGAATGTACAGGCAGCCTTCTGGCTTCTGAGGGAAACTCAGCATGCCAGCTATAACTTTGCCAGCCATTGCCATCATGGGGCAGAAATACACAGATAACTTTTACACTACTGCTCAGCTTTTCAGTGAACTAATACAAGGCATACCTCCTTGACAAGCCTGAATGAAAGACATCAAAGGATTCCTCCAGTATTTGAAAGAAATATATATGAAATGCCAACTGCCACTGGAGTAAGAAACACAATTGTGTTAGTGTCCATCACTTTTGGATTTGCTTTATCTGTGGCAATTTGTTTCAGACTGGTTTGAAAAGCTTCACCTGTGTAGAGCTCATTGGCTAGCTTATGAATGTCAGGTTTCAGCTTATGAGTGCCACAGGTGACATTTTTATAAGCAGTAGAACTTTGGCACTTATATTGGTGGGATCTTTCCCACCTCCCGCTTGCCACCACACAGAGACAGAACTGATATGGCATATGGGTCAGTGCTGATCATATAGTATAACAAGAGTGGGAAACATCTTTCAGCCTGAGGCCCTATTTCTAACTTGGAGACATTCTCATGGCCTTGGCCACTTCTGGGCAGGTGGAACCAATGACAATGAGGTGAACTCAGACATGCTTGCATTTGTAGCTTAAAGTTCTTACTGCCATTGACGCAACATTAGGAGAAGCATTTCAGCCTTTTAGAATGGAGAACAAATGCACAAAATCCAGCAAATCACCAGCTGGAGGAAAGGGAGTGAGTGTAGCGGAAGGGGATCTAAAGTAGCCCAGTGATCTGGAATGGGCTCCCACCTGGGCCAGACTGGGCTCTTGAGCCTGAGGTTTCCCACCCCTGGTATACGAGAGCCCTTGAAGTTATTCAGAAAAGGATAACTGAATTCTTTTTTATCACAGGGAAAAACAAAATAAATACTAACATGCATATATCCAAGTAAAAAGACAGAACAGCCAATTCCTGCATAGTAGCTTGCAAAATAGGTCATTGCCTGTTCAATGTCCAGCAACCTATTAAGAAGACAGAAAGAATTAAACAGTATTATGGTAAGTTCTCAAGAGCCAACTGACATGTTCGCTTGCTTCAGCTATGTGCCATGAGGGCTCCTTCCCATGAATTTGGTCTTTATATCAGAGTGCAGAGATTTATGACCTCTGTGAATCAGGCCATCTTGCCTTTAAGTATCTGTGAAATGAATTGTCTGATTTAATATTAGGACAAATTGAATGTTCTGTACAGGGAGCTGGGCCTATTTCCACAGTGTTCTTTTGCTCAGTCAAAGTTTCAGAAAGGACAGAGCAATTCATAGGGATTAAAGTGAAAACATAAAATGGAATTAATGGACAAGGAGGCTCACAAAGAGAGGTCCACCACACTGATATAGCCTAGTCATGGCATTGGCTGATGTTCAAAAGCAGATTCATCCATTCTCAATGACTGTGTCAAAGAGTTCCATTTCAGAGTACCTCCTTGTGAAAAATGCTGATTCATATAAAATATCCATGAAAACTAACGTGAAATCCTATGCACATTTACCTAGAAGTAAGCCCTGCTGCATATAGTGGGACTTCTGTGTAAACATGTATAGAATCCTTTTTAAAATGGAAGAGTTGTTATGCTGCATGTGGTTTTTTTGTCATCACAAGGTGGCAGGATCTGTTTTCAAGTACTTCAGCTTTGGAAATTAGAACAATGGCAGCTCCAACGTTCCTCACAAGTTCAGCCGGAGGAACATATTACCTGTTTCTCAAGTGGTTTAGTTATAATTAACTTTACTTGTATATGGGTTTTTTTCACATATCTGAAAAAGCTGTTTAGGTGAAGGTGAGAATCCACCATATTTAATCCAATTATGTTTGGCCCTCGGACCCACCTACTGCCATTAGCACTTTGCGAATTGCTGCTTCACATTTTGAAGCCAACGGACATCTTGGCTTCAAACTCTTCTGTGACCTGCCTGGGAAAGTGCATAATATAGTTCTGAAGGTCAAAAGTGATACGTTAGCATTATAAACTGAAAACAAAATACCATTGCAAGATAAGAGAGATCTGGGGGTGGTAGGGAACGACTGAAGAATTTCAGTCGCAACACATGCTAGCTAAAGCAGATAGTTGACTAAGCTGACCACTGGTTGACTCCATTAAAACGCGCAGTTAACCATGAGCAACCAGCAGCACCTCAGCGCCCTGCAGAGGGGGCAACGTGCCCCTGCAGGCCAGCGTGCACAGAGCATGGTCATGGGCAGGTATCGCTTACTCCTGAATAGGCTATAATAAAACAGCCCGAAAACCCAATTCCCACTAGCTGTGCTGACTCCAGTGGGACAATGACAAGCAACTGAAGGCAGGGACTCTAGCCCAACCTGAAAGATGAACCAGACTCATTTCCACCTAAGGACGTGGAGGGCTGTGGCCAATGTTATTTAATAACACTCAGAAAATAAGACGTTTTGCTCACTTACCCACAACTTATTGATGTATTACTGTCATTGTGGTGATGGGAACTGTTGATCCACACTATAGTGTTATTTACACATGCTTTGTTTGGGTCGCTGAGCTCTTGCTTTTCGATATCATATTGAATGAATGTGTCTGCCATTATCCCGAAGACAAACAGCATTGCTGGCTGGGCTATTCCATGAAGAACGGCACAGATGCCACCCAAAACCATCAGCAGTTTCTCATATAAAGAAGCAAATCTAAACTGGAAAAACAAGCAAAACATGCATGACCATTGACTCATTGTTCCTTTATCCTTTAACATATATTTTTACACACAGTAGCACTGGAGCTTGGAAATGAATTCAATATTTACAAAATACATAAGTAGAACAAAAGTAGCCTACTGGGTAATACTTGGGGAATGGATGAAGTTTTTGAAATGGGTCTTTCTGTCCTCAATTTATGAGTCACCCCACTGCCCAAGGAAAAATGCTAATATCGATGCTAAAAGATCTTTGGAGGTTTATATGAACAACACAGTGAATTTGCATAAGTGCTCTTAAAGTGGAAATGGGAAAGGGGGAAATAAGGATCTATCTCCTGGTAGATTACTGCATGATTTGGAGTACCAGCACGGGTTTCTGACTCCCAGGTGATTAACGATAGCAACAATGAGAACAAATTTTAAATTTGTTGCTGAAACAAAGTAAGTTTTGGGGTTGAAAGACTGTGAGCCCAGTTCTGGTACAGAAAACAAACTCTGGGGCTAAGCATGTCCTCAGAGATAGCCTGATCCTGAATTCTTACTCAGTTCCCAGCTATTATTTTGCAATATATAGATGCCAGAAATTGTGGCCAAAAGTTGCAAGTCTGCCAAACCCTCATATAAGCAACAGCATCAGATGGAAGAAGTATTAAAAATTAGCAATGGTATTACCAGCTGGAAGAAGCCAACTCGAATTTCACTCTTTTTCTTGTCTGATATCCTTAAAGAAAGAAAAATACACTGCTTTATAAGACTTCACTTTTTGTTTGCTTCAGATATGATAGGATCCCGTTATCAAGTTGGTGCTGATAAGTGATGAACTTCTTCATAGAACCAAATGACTGCCTGAGATTAAAGACAGCACTACCTAATATTACTGCTGCCACATATTAAGCCGTTTAAACCAATCCAGAAGTCAGAACATGTCAAGGATCTTGAGAAGCTCATCATATGTATTTTTGTTCACTTTTGGTAATGTGCTTGAAAGGTTCGGTTTCATTGCATGCCCAAATGCATTTTTCAGAACTTGGCCTGTCTACCAGAACAAATAACCACCAGCCCCTGTTGTCTCACCAAAATTGATTGCTCTGATGATACTACGTTTGCAAATACAACATTAATATGTTATGTCTTTTGTTTGCTCTTCCTAGCAAGCAAGGTGGTGCTTTGGGAACATCTTAAAATGAAAGAACTTTGCTCTTCTATCTTCAGGCTTGGGTGAGCCATATTTTAGTCTCCCGCTGCAGTCTGGGAAGGACCTTAAACTATAGGTGTCCCCATTGCAGAAGGGAAGTGGGTTCTTGGTGCGATGAGGCGAGCTTAATCTGCTGGATTCGTTGGCACTGGCCGAAGGGGGTACAAGCAGTGGTCCAGAATTTCTGACGTTGAACCACACAGGGAACCACACAGCATCAGTGCTTCCATGGAAACCCCAGCTGTGATTGCATTGCATCCTGACTGTGCATATCACGTATCGCCACACCCAGGGCGATCTGCACTGCCCCGATGAAGTGATTATCCTGCACTTGAGCAAAATCTGGGAAGCAGATCTCCTTTTCAGGGTGGTAGAAAATGAGGCACGTGAGGGACATAAGAGGGTCATATTAAAGGGTTGCTGCGGCAAACAGAACCTGTCTTCTTCGGGCACTGGGTCAGCTTTTGGCAGGGGTGCTATCTGTTTGTGATCTACCAGATTTATAGACTATTTGCATTGGTTCCTTTTCAGGAAAAGCCTAAAGAAATGAGTGTGAACCCAGCAATTGTTCCATTAGAAGAGAAGATAGCTTAACTTACTTCTTCTCCTTTGCATTGTCCTTTGAAGCAATACCTTTCGTCGTATAGAAATACCTGTGAAGTGATGACATTCTTCAAGTGAACATTCTTACTGTGTCTAGTTCTGTATATCACCAATGGCAATGATTTTTATCCAACAAAATATATGTATTATCTTAGCGCTTTATTTTGCCTTAGATCTCAATGAGAACATCATTTTTAAAAGAGGCATTAATTTGGGAATATTTTGAAATATAGCTTTGTTTTGAAATTACAGCTTGGTACAAATTTCCCTGAACTTAACTCTTTCTCTACAGATTTCCCCCTGTTCCTTTTCTGCTTTTATACTATTTGATGGTGTAAATAGTTTACAGTCATGCACCCAAATTTGATTGACTGATTGATTGACAGAATGGCTGCCTATTGGGAATGAAAGGGACAGTTGCTCTTGGTGCACATGTCAGGGCCAGGAAGACACAGACTCTTCCAATGGGGAGGATGAGCCCTGGGAAATGGGGCCTCCAGATAACAGAGAAGGAAAAGGCAGGAGAACTTGTCTCAAGGCCTGCCAGGAGGGGGTATGGGACAGGAGCAGGACAAGCCTGGCACAATCCTGGACCTCATGATGCAGCATCGGGAGAGAAGAACTAGTGACCCAGAGGGACAGTGTACAGCTAAGAGGCTTGCCCACCTCCAGAAGGGTCCTTCCAGAGCGGTGCACTCCAGGATTACTCAAAAGGAGAGTTCTTGGAAATAGTTTCTAGTTTGAGTTCAACAAACCCCTCTGTGCATGTCCAAAAACTTTGCTGGCCAAGGCTTGCTGGAGAATAAAGAGCTTTTGCCAACTGTGGATTGCTCATGAAAAGGGGGAAACTTACCTCCCAGCACTGCCAATCTCATACTTTGGGGGAAGCAACCAGACAGAGAAATCTTTCTACATGGAATTGCTTGTTTTTTCATGATGCCTTGTAAGTAGGTGGAACCTGAACTCTGAGAAGGACTAGTTGGAATTGTGCCTTATTACTATTGCCTCATTCTGTTCCAACCAAATGGTTGTTTGCTTTTGTTTTACTCCAGTGTAAGTGCCCAGATTTGTATCAGAACCAGGTGCTCCAAAAGGGTGCCAGTTAAAGTCACCATGCACTGAATTAAATTCAAGAATTTCATATTCATCCCCTTGCAGAGAGGTGGGGGGGGGTCCAACATCGACTCCACTTCCCACTGCCTTGCCATGGTCCAGATCCAAATTGGGCCCAGCATTTTTTTACACTACAGTAAAAAAAACCTACAAGTGTTTCATTTGGCTCTTCGTTAATGTATAATGATTTCAGAGTGTTACCTAACTGATATCAGCTGTATAAAACTATATTTTAAGGAACTGAAGTTCATGGTTGCATTTTATCTATTGCAAATACATTCTGAGGTTTGCAGAAAACAACGAATCTTTGCAAAACACCACAAGGGTACAAAATTAAATATCCTCTAGAACAATTGAATAGGAACACAGCATGCTCTCTTGCGCAGGATGCTGAACGCTTGTTTCAGAGGCATGGGATGAAATGCCCTGGACAAAAGCACGGCTGGCAGAAATCTTAAACTAAGGTATTCTGCACGGCAACCTATTGTTCACGTTCCAACATGTAAAGCCAAATATTTAGCCTGTAAATTACTTACTCTGGTTTGCTGATGCCATTACCTGTTGGGAGAGAAATATATCCTGTAGTTAACAGTCTCTGAGCACACAGGCCTGTCTAAGGAGCAGTGCTGGGTGAAGCATTATTCCCCATCAACCTACTCACAAAACTCCGGGTAAGATCAGAATGGACCAAATATTGGAATGATTCTGATTGACACCTAACTACAAGCAAGGGCACAGATTTTTAAAAAGACTTTTAAAGAAGTTTTATCCTTAGATAGCATTAAGAATAGGCTATGTAAGAGTGAACAACTGTTAACCTATGTTTAGACTGTATGGGAGGTGTGCCAAACCTTGCCTGGGATTTCCGCTGTCACTCACCCACTGTTGTTCAGCAATCACAACAGCGTGGTCACCATCTTTTCACCCCCCACACACATATTCCCTCCAATACTTTGAATGGACCACGGGCATGGGGCAACCCAGGGCTGGGGATCCTCAGGCCCCAGCCCTCCTGTGGCCTTAACTGGGCCCTGCAGGGTTCCCCGGATGGCTACATCCCCCATTTCCAGCCCCAGCTCAGGGACTTCCTGGATTTTGAGCAGCTTTCTTCCCATTCTATAAAGGTAGAAAGGCTGTTCCCAAGGCTTAGTTCCTGGCGATAAGGATCTTAAATGGGCACTTTGGTTTCCTATTTTTGCCTCCAGCCTTTGTGCCTTTAGCCCCACACCCTTTGCCTTCATTCACAACATGAATGCAGCCCTGAAAAGGTATCTGGAGTTAAATTTGCCCCTCAGGGTGAAAGAAGGTTCCCACTCCTGGTCAAGTCCATGTGGAATAAGAACCCCTACTATTGACCACCTCACATATTGTGGGGACAGTGAAGTCCTGCCCAGCGGAGAACCTTAGACGAGTCCTCCTGGATTAGACCAAAGGCCTGGCCATCCTCCTGTTTCCAACAGTAGCCAAACAGATGCCACTGGAGGGCAATAGGACTCACCATAGTTTGCTCCCCAGTAGCCACTGCCCAGGGTCATACTGCCTCTGAACCAGGAAGCTGCATGTGGCCCTCTTGACCAGTAGCCAAGGACAGACTTGGTCCCCCAGGCATGTCTCAAAGCTTGATGAACACATGGGAGTGTCCATACATTCATTACTCAAAATAATGGATCCTAACTCTCCACACACAAGAGTTCCTTCCACTTGCAGAAGGAACTGCAATCCAGCAGAGGTTTCTACTGGAAGACAAGAGGTCATTTCCACCCATTTTTGCTCCTCTGGTGGCCACTGCCCACACTCCTTCAAGAAGCTGTACAAGGGGCTACACTGGGGATAGGGAATTGGCCAGAACTGCCTCATCCATTCTTTCCCTGGCTCCATTATCAGCATCCTGTGGAAGGGAGGCTGCCAATAGTGGAGTATTAGTCAGCATCTAGGCCAGTGAATTCATTGTGCTGCCTCATGAACATAAACACAAGGCATAAACATCATGTGGATAACTAGCTACGACCAAATACAATTCATTCACTATAATGTTAGTTCGGCTTGAGATAGTGGAAAGACCTTCCAAAGCCATACGCCTCAAACGATGTAAACAAATGTTCACTGAAGTGATTTAGTGGTAGGTGTATTAAGTCAAGAAATGTCTAAAATGTAATATGTCTTACAGGATTCTTCTGACTCGAAGGCATGGTTGTCTTCTCCGATTTTCTTAATACTGCACAAAGTAACGGGTTCAGGCATGGCCTGCTTCCGTTCGTTTCTGCAAAAATTCAAAACATTAGGAGCCCTTGCGTCTTTTCAAAGCACATGAGAATGTCATCAATGCTGTATGACTTCAACGAGTCTAATGGATTTCCCTGTAAAACTCAGTGAGCCTGTGACCTTTAGCTCCATTGTATGTTTTCCTTGAGCATATCTAAATCCCAACTTTTAGACTCCCAAGTTCCAGCAAGGGTTATGAGCAGAAGGAGGTTTCCTCCTAACAGGCCTCTAATGTGTTTTGATTCTGGTTGCATTACTAGAGGGGAGCAGCATGTGTTCTGCCGGTCACGTGCCTCCGCCATGGCTGCCACACTGCTGGACTGCATAGCAGGAAGACAAAACGATGGCACTTTGCTGGCAAATTTCAGTGGCAAGCCACCGCCGATTGCAAAACAGCCAAATCTAGCTTGAAAACTTAAGTCCATTGCTTCATGTCTTGCACTGTGGGATGGTTGTGAAGAGATCCTTGCCCTCTTCTGTGTGACAGCTTTCCATGTATTTGACTAGTGCTACCATATCTCCCCTCAGTCTTCTCCAGGCTAAACATGCCCAGATCTTTCCATTGCTCCTCACCAGGCTTCTTCCAATTCCCCAATCATCTTGGTTGTCCTCTTCTAAACTTTTCCCCATTTGTCTGCATCTTTTTTCAAGTACAGAGCACAGAACTCGACACAGTACCCAACTAATACCAAATAGAGAGGAACCAGTACTCCTATTAACGCAGTCCAATATAGCTTTTGCTCATTTTGCAGCCAGATCACATTGCCAATTTTGCATTCAACATGTCCTTCTTGAAAGACTTGTTCTTGCTGGCTTCTAGTAATGACTCCTTTGCCTTCATGGTGCTTGGAACAAACCACTTTTTTGGCCACCTCTGCTGAATTCAGGAGCAGAACAGCAGTAGGAGTGTAGCCCATGCAAGGAGTCCCTGGGGTGGCAGGAGGCAAATAGCCCCTGGATATCCTAAAGTTGCCCTGACCAGATTAGAATGTTCCAGGGATTTAAGTTACAAGGAATCAATGCATGTTGAAGAAGATCATTGAACTTGCAGACAGGAGTGCTGCTACAGTGCTAGCACAATCTAAGTTTCCCTTCATTTTCTGACATATGTAATTCATGGAAGCATAGCAGTGGTTTATAGTGTTATAATGTGGGTACCATAGGAAAAGGGATAAAGGTTTTCTTGCCCCCTTTCCTGGGCCATCCCAATGTAAACAATCGCGCCTTTCTGCAGTTTCAAGCAATTTCCCAATAGTCAAATTCTCCTGCTGCTCATTACTAGCTTCCATTTTTCCTGCTTTAGGAGACCTCTTTGGCCAAGAACACAGGACATGGAAGGAAAAAAAATACTATAATCATTCTGCCTAGGCTGCACCTCACTCCCTCAATCTTCTAGAGGTGCACTTGATTGATTTTAAGAGTCTCTAAAAGCAACAACAATTACCTTATTGTGAAGATTCAATTGTAGAAATGGCTGGGAAGTATTTTAATTTCTGCAAGAGGCAGACCCAAAGGATGCCAGTCTGTAAAAACAGATTAGTCTTTAGCTCATGTCTGCCAAAGATAATGAATACATAGAAAATAATAGCGAGGAATGTGGGGTAGATAATGGACAATGCTGCAGTGCAGAAAGGTTGTCTCTGCTCCTACCCAAGTCAGACATGTACACGGGCATGATAAAATAAATTTTTTTAAAGCAGGCGATCCAGTCATGTAAGTTCCTGCATCAAATGAAGTTTGGCCTTAATATTCCATAAAAAGGGTATATGAGTGATTTATTTAATGAATGCAGCAAATTCATTTTGAGCCAGCAGTTTTTGAAGCAGCATTTCCAGTTCTTACATAGAATAATTAGCAAAACTCCTACACCACAGAGCTTCATAAAGTAGATGGGTCAGATAGCATGCTCCCCACCCAAGTTAAGAGGCTTCACTGAACAAGCTCTTTTGGCCCTCAATAGCAGCAACAGTATGAGACTCTGGCCACAAGCTGGTTTTAAACATTCTCTGCATTTTTTAAATTTGCTGTGGTATAGATGATGACAACATTGTTTCCTCATCTGAAAATAGCTCATCCAAAAACCAAATAATAAAACTTAACTTACCAGTGGAAGTTTTAAAAAGGAAGAAACAGAGAAATGACTTCCAAAGACCCAGTTAAGTGAAATTAGCCAATAGTTCATTCATCCGTTTTAAAAATCACCAGTTTTCAGCATAGTAACCCATATATCAGGATTTGAGCTCTTGTTGTCATGCGATATTTACATTTGCAGGTGAGTAACCGTGTGGTCAGAGTTCATTGATATACCCTGTAGAATTTTTAACTTGCCTAAAAGCTGAAGAACTAGAGCCAATATTCAGTTTTGGTGAAATGTCATTCTCAACAAACAGTAAATGGATTCACACACATTCTACAGTTTCATAATATTTATTATAGATTTAAAATGAAGTGATCTGGGAAAGTTTCAGCCTCTTTCATTGTCAGTATGTAGTTTAGGAACAAAACTTACTTTGGAAATTATCATGCTAGTTCAGTTTTTTAAAGTTAATTTTAGTATTTTTTAAACCTTTCCACTCTTTTCCAGATTTGTACATAGCTTCCACTCCTGCCCTGTTCACATGGCAGTTGAACGAGCCAGGAAGTTTTTCATACAGAAATACTCTTTGAGCTGCCTTAATTTGAAAATATTATTTAAAGCTGTCTAGAAAAGTCATTTAGGGCATATTCCTTGGCAAGTTTACACAGCAAAGAGGCCTGCAACTCCCAACACCCCCGAGTCAGTATAGCAGGCTGGGGCATTCTGGGAGCCATAGGCCCTTTTCCATCTAAACTCCCATAAGATTACACTTGATGCAGTGGCATTGTGAGAGTCCCCTTAGTCACACTTTGAAGGAGGATCCAGCTTTGCTTTGTCAACAGGCAGTGGTTCTTTACGGACGTTTAGAAACATTAAGCATGCCAATGGATGAAAAAAAAAGTGTATTTAGGAGATTTAGTAGAAATAGGCTAAATAGAGCAAGAAAGCAATGCAATGCAGCCAACAGCAGCAAAAAGAATGCCAGGAACAAAATTATAACTCTGCTGCTCTGAGGTTATTAGGAGTCTCTAGCAATCAGCCTGGTTTGTATGCAGCACTCTCACAATTAGTTTGTGTCCAGACCCTGCCCTAAAAATCTGTCTTAGAGGTCTAGAGAGGAAACTGTACACCTAGCAGGCTACCTCATCTCCTCCACCCATCTCAAACATGTTCACGCACATCTGTAAGCCCAAAGAATACTGATAGCCAGCAACCAGCAGTCCAGCCAGCCTGATAACAGCGCCAGGCAGAAATACTTTGCAGCTATCACACAGGCATCTGGTATAGGCAAGGCACCACTACAGTCCTGCAGAAAAATGAAAATTCTCCAACAGATTAGCACACACAATTTATTATGATTGTCATTTATTAGACTTCTATCCCACCCCATTAGCTGTAAGGCTCCCTGGGTGGGTTGCAATTTACTATGTAAAAACACACTCACCTGCACTAAGAAGAATCAAACTGGTACAAGAGACACACAGAAAGTTCCTCTTGTAGGAGTTTGTAAACTGTATGGAAAGGCCGAGAAGGGTTGCCTCCTTCTTTGAATGCTTAATTGCAATCACGGGTGATAGAGATAGAACACTTGTGTGCCATTGCTAATAGGATCTTCAAAGGGCAGCCAGAAGATCTTCAAAGGGCAGGCATGCCATCTTCCATTGACATGAACGATGTTATTAGTGGCTTGGTTTATGACCTAACCATCCAATGTATTTCCTTCTTCAAGCTGAATGGAGATTTAATCTTTAGAGTACACCTCTAAGGAAGTTCTTTCTGTAGAAGTTTCTGGTACAGCTTTGTCTTGAGTCTCAACTTCTTCCAAACAGCAGAACGTCAGATCATTTAGGACTTAAATCTGCATGCTCTATTATGCTTGAATCTATTTGAAAATGTCAATTTTCATCTCACAATTTTATTTTCAGGATTGTGGTAATTCCTTGGCATATCAGAGCTCTGCACTTGTAGTGGAATCTAAGACCTCATTTCAGTTTTATAGCATTCTGATGTGCCAATATTTTCATACGTGTTTACAACATTTTTATTTGGCAAAATACAGGAATTGGTGTCTGTCTTGATGAATTTTTAATTCAAATATTCATATATTTCACTGTATATCTAACAAGTAGATTTTCTTGATGACCTTACTTTTGTTGATGATCTTATTACATGTTTTTTATTATTTGTGGATACTCTTTTTGAAGAGTGTAGCATCTAGATCATAAGAGTAGATGGTGCCAACACTGTGAATCTAGACACATGAAACTGGTCATGCATAGTAAAGAGATCCTAGGAGTGTGCACTTCAGGGTTATTTAACTGGAATTACTGGTTTTATTGAGTTTTAAGCCTGCAATATCATCTTCAGTCACTAGGTGGTAGACTTCTGTATCCAGCCCATAACTTTGCAGTAAATACATTTTGAAGCCAGAGAAGAGTAGTCTGAGGGACAGAATGATACCATTTCCACCTCCTGTTGCAGGGCACCAGGGAACACAGTGGGCAGAATTTCTACCAGGGGGCTGTAGAGGTGCCCCATGGCAGGGGCTATGCCTAGGGGTGCTAGAAAGCATGGATTCACTCAGATGGGGCAGGTGCAAACAGCTGTGTAAGTTGCCTGAAGGTATCACTGTATCAGACTAAGAGCTGTTCCAAGCTATGTAGAGCTAGCCCCATTCACCAGAAAATCTATATAAAACATATTTTTTACCATTCCTGAATAGAATTTAAAAAGACCCATAACACTAGTTACTTATATATTATATATTGCTACACAGTGATATGTGACAAAACATACTACCATTATTATACTGCTTTTCCTAATCATGCATAGACTTCAACAAGAGCTTTCCAAATATCCACACATTTATTATCCATTTATCCACACATTTATCCACACATTCCAAATATCCACACATTTATTATCCAATGATAATAAAAATTTATTATTCGGTTTGTGAATTAAACCGAAAGGCCATCTATTCAAAGACTGAAAGTCCATTGTGTTATTACAGGTGGCCATTTATCTTCCTATATTGTAATATTAGTCTTTTCATTGTCAACAGAAAATCTAATTATATTGACCTAGCATTAAATTCCAAGAAATGTGTGTCCTCAAGTATTAACAAACTCTCAGTCTCAAGATGTATCCAGATTATCATGTCTTTCCAAAAGGAACTGCCATTGGCCATTGCCAAAAGAGTAGCATTAGCAGCTGGTCAATGACTGAATTGATTGATTGATTGATTGATAGCATTAGCAACAGTACAACCCCACCACTTGGCTGATTTAATTCAAGCCCTTATGAAAGAGACATGGTGGTATTCAGTATACCCATAACATTAGTTTTTGCTGAACCAAGTGGTAGTCTAAGATTTATTACCCCATGTGAAATAGGCAATAACAAAGCTTTCAATTGACTGGGAGAAATGGGGTTTTCCAGTTTATTTTTTAAATTCTTGGTTGAGACCCTGTGCATCATATTTATTCATGATTTATAGTTATTCAAACACATGAATTGCAAGCTGATGTAGCTGTTCAGCCTCAGTCAATACTTCCAATAACACAAGTGGCTCTAAGGCTGTAAAAGCATAGGAACCTATCCTGGATACTACAAATGTTTCAGTTTCCTTTACTGTCATATAGTCATAGCTGACAATTTAGATTTAGCATGTAAAGCAGAATATCACAAAAAAAAAAAAAATCATCAGGACCACCAAGCTGATGCAAAGTAAAAATCAACTGTCCATCCTAGGTCCACCAAAAATTTTCTTGCCAGTTGTAAAATCCAGATTTCCACATAAAGTTAATTTTATGTATGAAAATACATCAGACTGCAGCTGATATGAAAATATATGCCACATCTCTCTAGCTGCCAAAAGTGAAAGAGGCAAGATATCTGTTTTGGGAAGTCAAGAGCCTAATGCAGTCCAATTAGGAAGAATATTCAGAAATGAAGACACCAAAACTGACTAGGAGGAGCACTCTAATATAAGTAAAAAAAAGACCAAAAGCTAGTGCAAGGTAACAAATAGGTTCTTTGGTATAAGGAAAGGCTGGGAAATCCAAAACCACCTTATTTAATAATCAAAAGTTGCATCCTTTTGTGACCGTGCTAAGCGGCCCTTGATTCAGTAAAGAGGAGATTATCAGGTTTCCAAGGAAAGCTCCTTTCAAAGAGAGACTGAATGCCCGATCTGGTTTTTAAGCACTATCACACTTTTGTGTGCTGAACCCCATAAGGATATTTGGGGTTCATAAGGATATTTGTGCTGAACCCCATAAAATGTTATACAACTAAACTTTAAGTTTCTGGAAACAGTTGCCAGGTATAAATAAAGGAATACCATGTTAAGCATAAACAACCTGAGGCATTACATTCATGTTAAGTGCAGTTACCCTACTCCATTACTTACATGAGTCCATCTGTCAGTTTCCCTTGAGGTCTCATTAATCAACTTAATTTGATCATTTGTGATATATTTCTTGAGACAA